CCATGTCCTTTTGTGTTGGGCATGGTTTAACGTTTTGTCTTGCATGTTCGGGCCGGCATTCTGAAGTTTTGTCTTCAAACTCTGTCTCGAGAGCTTGATTTCCTTTTAAGCGGTTGTCGGCTCGAGAGCTTTTCCTTTTGAGTTCCCAATGCAAGAATACACATTGGCTTTTTCTTTATGTGATGGCTCAGCCTTAGTTGGTGGTTCTTAGTTGGTGGTTGGGATTGGTTTGGGCATTTGAAACCCTGGTCTTTGTAGACACCCGCTAATCATCAAGCCACCAATTAGGCGGAAGCTGATTGTTGGTAGACCAAGATTTCACACCTGCTTTTGGGGCCTATCCACTCAGCGCAGAATCTAGCCCGACAGAAACAAAACATGCGACTGCCAAGGCGCTTTGTGCTCAGGCCCTGTTTTGGAGCTTTGTTTCCGTTTTCAACGAATGAAGTACTGGGCCACTTTCTGTGAGCCCCTGTCTTGAAAGCTCTCGGCCTTCAACTTTTTGCCGATCAAGTAGCCCTGGTGATGCCCCTTATCGGGGTTTCACGCTTCAGAGCCTTTCCTGTGGGTTGGGGGGCCGAGTTTTCAGGCAAGCAGAAGCTGGACAAGGAGGGCTGGGAGCAGATCATGGCTGCAGCCTCAGGGGGAGGATGTTGGGTTCCGTGGAAGGAAGCCAACCGCTTTGAAGGCTCGGTTGTTTACTTCCATTTGCTTAAGAACATTTGTTATTTTCCCCTGTTGGTTTTAAAGGGAATCTATCACTACTGTTTTTTTTTCTCCCAGGGGTCTCAACCAAATGGAAGTTAGGAGGGGCCTAAATCGCCGACAATTTGTTTACCAGGCCTTTCCTAGCACATTGCGGCCAAACAGGCGTTTCTGATCTTTCCAGCTAACCTTTCGTTTTTCTTGCGCATCAAAGTCCCCCCCTCCCCCGGTTTTGAGACATTTTGAGACGGCCCCATTTGGCTGAATTCGTGGCAGATCCAAACGAAGATGCTGCAGTCCGAGAGCATCCCAACATGAGCCCGCAGTGGTAGAGACTTGATTGTGGAATGGGAGCATGGTTCGCCAGATTGTTTGGAGGATGAGAAGGGACGATTGACAACTTTGGTCCACTCCAAAACGCTCCGATGAGAACCCTTCGGTCAGAAACCCCTTCCTTCCCAGAAGGTTCCTTCACAACTCTGCCGGAGTGGTGGGAGTTTGGGTCTGTTTTTCATGTTTTTATTTCTAACTGGCCAAGACGGCCCCATCCCAAGCCATTCCTTGAATTTGGGGGCCTCTGAGAAAAAACCCAGAAAGCAACCACTGTGTAAATACATTGACCCCAGTAGTTGCAGGGGAACTTCGGATGAATAAACCCGCGGTTGATTGATACGGGGCCTTTCGTGCGTCGGAGGCAGCCAGGCAACTGGGAGAAAAGCAACTGCTCAGTTGGTTGCATAGAAAATCCGACGCATATGATGCTGTGGGTCGACGAATCCGGTTCGCACCACGCTGCTGGACCGAATCAGAAACGATTAGGTTTCTGAACGGCGCGAAATGGATTTCGCAACCGCGGTACCAAGCCTTTGAGGGGACCAACTTCTTCGAGAAAAGTCATCGAACTCTCCCAAATTGGATTCCACGAGGCCCACATGGTGCTCCGGACGCCAGCGGGAATGAAGGCGGCGACCGGTGGATGCTGCGGCTTGTTTCGCCGAAGCGGGTAGGGCTAGGGAGAGGGGGGAGGGGTAGATTGGGTGTCCAGCCGGACCACTCCGTGCCAAAAACGCGGGAAAGAGGGCACTTGCCCCTTGTCATGGTTGTTGTTGGGAAACACCTTCTACATTTTTGCGGTTGTTGGGAAACACCTTTTACAAGTTTTTGCTCATTGCAATCCACTTCACTTTTAGTGGTTGTAATCCAAATCCACTTCACTGCTATTCTTCTTTCTGGAAAAAGCTCCCCTGTCAACGTCAGCCAAGTTTTTTTGTTTTGTTTTTTTTTCTCGGGGGGGGGGGCTTGATAAGTAGCGTTTATGTATAGCTGGTGGCCGGCACCGCGGAGCCTGAAAGCCTTTTGCTGAAGGAAAGCAAAAGGACACAAAGGTCACCCTGGGGTTTTTGCCACAAGGAAAAGGGCTGGAACCTTTGCTTCCATTTGCTTAGGAATATGTTTTTTTGTTTTTTTTACAAATCCCCCTGTTGGTTTTGAAGGGAATCTATCACTGCTGGAAATATGTCTATGTTTTTTCCGGGGGTCGAAAAGCCCAACGGAAGTTTGTGACGCTCCAAGTTCAGCTTGCGCCGAAGCCTGGGGCAGGAAGTGCTCCAAAGCTAGACGTGTCAGGGTCCAAGCCTTGGAGATTTGAGGTACTGTGGATGGGCAAAACCCTTTTCGCACCAAGAAACCATGGTTGGAACCATAACGTTCGTTTGTATTTACAGGGGAGTGGTGCAGGAGTTCGTCCATCCATGGAGCTTGTATGCCACTGCTAAATGTTGGGCCCGCCCTAATCTGTCCCCCCCCCCCCTCCCCTTCCCGGAACAGTGCTAACCTGGGGCCTCTTTAGTGGGACAAGGGGGGTCTGGGTTGGACTGCCAATTCTGATTCAGTGTTGCCAAGACTTGCTCTCAGATCCCCCAGTGCCTCCTTTAGTATTGCCGATTCTCAACAAGAAAGGCAAGGGCTTTGATCTGGAGATTCTTGCCCGGAGTTCTTCTTTCCGGCACACAACTTTCTAAAGCGAGCCTTGAAACAGTCACTAGGGTCACTTTTAGAAAACTGACACCACATATGAAAGTGGCCACAGTACAGTATGAGTATGGAGAAAAACATATACATAGACACATATACATGCAACTGGTATATATTGCCTCACGCACAATTGCCAATTGCGTTGATGGCATAGAAACCTCCACCCTCCAAAGGCATTCCTGAAAGTGGTAATGCAAGAGCCGTCGCCCGCAGTGTTTCACAATAGGCTTTCAAAAGGTGCCAGTGCGCTTCGATGGCTGCTTTCGAGAGCGTACTTTGGCAGCACGCACTCTCAGGAAACCCGTCAGGGGTGGTTTGGAGCCCGGTGGTTTGGTTGGATTGAACAGGTCCCAGCCCCAGCTTTTCTACAATGTAGAGGGTGAATGGGAAACCCCTCCGTTTCACCACCAAACCACCAATCCAAACCACCAATTGGAGGGAAGCCAACACTCGAAAGGGGCGACCAAATGAGAAACAACATCGCCAGCAAGGTGTGGCTAGAGGAGTTCGCATCATTGGAGCCCAGACCTGGATCTTTTTTGGATGGGCCCATTTCAAGGGCCAAGTTTCCCATCCATCCGCCCGTCTGAACAATCTGGGCTTGGAATTCATTGCCATTGGGCAGATTCGGTCGACGCCGCCGCGTGATCTCGAATGGGAGATTTGAAGACCTCATGGCGGGTGTTGCCATCTTGGGGTTGTCTTGCAGGGGGTCCAAGGAGCGCACTAAGGACGTCAAGTCCTCATTTTCACCTTACTTTCTTTGGGGGCAGGCGCCGTTGCTCCCAATGGCCATTCGATCTGCCGGCCAGGAGGCGCTGTCCATGCTTGCAGACTGGCTGCAGCCCGTGCTCGCCGCTCTCGAGGCCGACTCGCTCGCGACTCGGGCGCGAATCGGGCGTATTGTCGTGGGATCGAAAGACGTTCCTCTCCTTGATGGGTCCTTTGGGCAAGTGAGATGCAGGCCCCAGGTCTTTGCACAGTTGGTTTGGTGTGTTTGCGTGCCCATAATTAGGGTGGTCCTTTTGCCGCTTTGGGGCAAAACACGGTCATACCTCGAAGAGGGACGCAACCACACTTTAAAAGGCAACATCCAGCCACAACAGGGTACCGTCAAAGAAGACTCCCAGGTGTTTTCCCCGAATCCTGCGCTTTGAGGGGCGAAGGTCATTGGGCAGGTCAAATCGTGACAGAAAACACGTCTTTTTGCGGACCTTGGGGCATCAAGAAGGTTCTTCACTCGGATTCCCGATTTGTCCATTTGCTTAAGTTGTTTTTTCATTTTCCACTGCTGGTTTTAAAGGCAATCTATCACTACTGTTTTTTTTCTTCGTGTTTTCCAGGGGATTCATGCTGCTTAAGGGGCAGGGTACACCCCATGTGTGGAGAGGACCCCTGGTGCCCGCTTGGGACTTGGCAAGCATGCGATTTCATATGCAAGCATGCGAAGCTGGAGTTCGGATTGTTTCCAGTTGAGCATTGAATCGCTTGACCATAGGTGTCTTTTTTGGTGATTTTGGTAGAAACATGGATGGCCCTGGTTTACCTGATGGTTTAATCATCTACTAGCAGGGCCATCAATATCCCCTAAAAGGACGCCTATGTGCTTGACGTTCCGGGATGCTTGAGATGTGGTTGCCGCTTTGCCCTTCACTAAAGCGAGGGTGGTAGACGCGTATCCATGCTAGGTTTGGGGTTGAATGCTGGCCAAGTGTTCCTTGGACCTCTTTTGCCCTCAAAAAAGCGGTCAAGCTTCACCAAATATGGTCCCGGATCTACAAACATGTCCTGTTTTGTCGGGGGCAATCGCCGAGTTTCGGGGTGATATATGAATCAAGCATCCAGGTACATACTTTAGATCAGTTGATACCCCGGTTGTGGACAGCTGGTTTTCAGAGCACCTCCCTCAAATCGCAATCATGCTTACTGTAGTGATACGCATCTTCACGGTCAGATGGAACCTACAAAGCGTCACTCTTGACACTTCTTCTGTTCTTCTGGAAGCAGTTTTGGGGTTCCACGTTAATGGTGACACCCCATGACAGGGGCCTCATAACCCCCCCTCCTGACCGAGTTGGCTGTGGGTCGCCATTTGGTCTTAGCACATGCACCCCATTCCAAAACTCATGCTTTGGGGCAACCCATGTTGCTGGGTGCTAAAATAGCCCAACATTTTCACCTTGCCTGTGCTGGAATCAGGGAATGAACCTGATTCCATTTCTCATTCCTTGCCTATCGCACCAGCAAGATAAACCTAAATGTTCACAGCAGGTTTCTCATCCAAGGCCCTTGAGAGAGGCCACAGCGCCCGCGTCGAAGCTCGAAGAAGCTGCGTTGGCCGGAGCCCCTTTGTCCTGGGAGCGAGCCATGCCGCGCGGTAGGGACGGTAGGGAGGATGAGGACGCGGGGGAGTTTCAGAAGAGCCCAGTGCGGGGCCGGCCGATGGTCAACAAGCTGGTGCCACGGCCTGGAAAATGACGTCCATTTGCTGAAATGAATATCTTTTTGTTTCAATGTTCCCCTGTTGGTTCTAAAGGGATTCGATTTCACTACATACTTTCATTTTTTCCAGGGGTCGAACAACCAAATGGAAGAGTCGGGCGTGCTGGATTGTTCCGATTTCTGTTGTGCATGTTTGTGGTTTGGCGGAGGGGCATACGCAAGCGTTGTAGATGTACATGGTGGTTGGGTTCGCTTTTCGCTTCTTGGGAAAGAGGTTTTCTTTGGGGTCCGCTTGTGGCACCCAAGCCGAGCATCCCAACAACGTAGTGATTGCTGCACACAAAAGCATCACTCACACTGTACCTGAATAGAGGCAGCCAAGGCAAGTTCGACTATTACACATTTTGAGGGGGGCCGGGGGGGGGGGGGGCAGTTTAGTTTTTTTTTGGTGTGTGTGTTGTTTGTTTTGGGGGGTCAACCCCTGCAGCTTATCAGCTCTGAATCGTATAACGTCCATCGATACTTCATGCGTTTTGCGCTTGCAGGGTCAAATTTCGACCAACTTGCGCAGCTTGGGTCGCGCGAAAGACTAGTCGAACCATCTAGTAGCTGGTTCCCTCCGAGCTTTGCCCTCACGATGTCTGGAGTTGAACAGTTTCACAAGGCAAAGCAACTATTAGCGTTGTCGTCGACCTATTCTCAAACTCCAAGCGGGTAAGATCGACAGTGATTGCTTCGCTGCACTTCTGGGATAAATGCCAGCTCCAAGCTGGCCGTTTGTGATAAGCAGAAATGGAGGTGAGGGATGAACCCAACGTTAGGCAAAGGGGTACCACGAACGGTGTTGGTTCATTTCAACAGCAGGGCGGTGGTCACGGAAGTCGACACCCGCCTTTCGGAGCGGGTAACAACTCACCAGCTGAAGGGACTAGCCACGAAAATGGATGACGCTCAAGCGGGTGACCGGTGCACTGGCGCAAGTTCGTCAGGGAGTACAGGTGGATGCTACAGACTTAAATGCTTCATTCCTCCTGTCCAGTGGCTTAGGTTGGCAACCGTTCTTGCAATCCAGATGGCTGTAAGTCCCCTTTCGCAGGCCCCAAGCGCTTCAAGAAGCCCAAAGTCCCAAAGGTTGCCATTTATTCCTTTTGCAGGGGGGGGGGGGTGTCTGTTTGAAAAGCAGACTTAATAATTGAGCTGGGTACGGGGTGGGGTTCCTACCCCGTAGGGGGTGGACCTCCTTTTTCCCACGGCTCTCCCATGGGAAAAAGGTGCCGAAGAAGCTGACTCGCACCACGACTGACGACACCCAGACCGCCATCAACCGGGTGGTGCACGAGGCAGTCGCGCGTTCCAGCGGCAGCGGAAGCAAAGGCTACGCCGCGCGCGCCACGATGGGCGCTGCGGAGAAGGAGGACCTTCTGGCAAATGGAGGTTGGTTCACATCTTAAGCAAGACTAACCCAATATGGACACCTATGCCGGGGATGTAGATCTGCCCTTGCAGGTCTGCCGGAGTCTGTTTACACTTCGAAGGTGCGCAAGGTCATTTGGACCAAAGCCCAAGCACCGTTGAGGCAGGCTTCATGGACCAATGAGACATGTTACTTTTCTTGCGTCTCCTTTTGGAGTGATTGCAGCATCAATGGTTGCCGTCTTGGATGTTAACTAACTCATGGTTTGGCATGGTTTTGCACTATGCGTTTTGACTCGGGAATCAGGCGAGTCAACATCCAAGCTGTTCAGTTTTTCCTTCGGAAACCTTGGTCGATGTCTCCGTTGCCCAGCTTAATGCCTTTCAGGTCTACTGGGGTCTCTTTGCCAAATTGGTTTACCATTTCAGGTTCACCGCTAAATATGCACCATCAAAGCATGGCGTTTGATTGGGCAATAGCTGAGGTTTTTCGAGTCTGGGTTAGAAATGTGACCTGAATCGAGCTGCTAACAGACGAGCCTCTTCTGTTCTTATGCATGGCCTCGGAATCAAAATGCTTCAGCCTTGCAACAGGTGATCCGGAAATTCCCTCAGAGTTCTCGATTTTCATCACCTTCCCTTTCCTCGGTCCAACATGCCAGGGAAAACCGACCATTTTCTCCAGCCGCAGACCTTGCCCTTGGGGAAGCTTGCAATTTTTTTTGGAGCCTGCCCTTTTCTGGGTTTCTCAGCAAAAAAAACCAAGGGAAAACAATGACCATCTCAGAAAACTCCCGTTTTCAGACTCGCTGAATATATATATATATATATACACACAGATGAATGTATATATATATACAGATGAATGTATATATATATATATATACATATATATACATGTATATTTATATAGATGTATATTAATGTCGATATGAATGTATCCAATATATGTATATACATCTATGTATACACATATATCTATGTATACATATATATATATATATGTGTGTATTTATATCTATATGAATGTATCCAATATATATATAAATATATATATATATATATACATATTTATATATATATATATGGGCAGCCCTGTTCCGAACCCATGCGTCTGGACTCTGGTTTTTCCGGCCGGGGGGGGGGGGGGCTTCGGGTTCTCCTTCGGAGGACTTGGCGGAGGACGTGCGGCAGCGGGTGCAGCTGGTCATCGAAGCCAAGGAGGATGAGCTCATAGGCGGGGCGGATTGCCAGGGCCTGGCCTGGGGCACCTCCAAATTGGTCCGGCGAGGTGTCCTTTACAAACTTTTTGGGTTGCCCTGTTCCACTACTAAAATAGACTACAGAAAAAATAGTGGAAGAAGGGTTAACCATAACCGTGTACAGGTGTTTAGCCTTCGGTTCCCCATTTGCCAAGTTTTTTTTTTTTTTTTTTTGGGGGGGGGTACATGTGCCACGAAATGGAAAAGATTGAGCTACTTAAAGGGGCAGCAGTACATCAGGTAAGTGGGCAGGAACCATGGTGAGATAACCCGCCAAAGTTCCAAATTGAAGAGCTAGGGTTGGCCGCGCCCAGGTGGGGTTGACCAAAAGATCCGTGATACATGGGATGACCGTTGGGAGAAACCACCAAAACGATGATATGTCCCTGTAAACGGGCACAGTTACCTATGGCCATCTGAGGGCCAGGATTTTTTGATCAACCCCATGTGCAGGTTTCTAGTCTTTGGTTCCATTTGCCAAGGTAGTATTTTGGCACATGTTTGAGCCACAGCGACTTCTGCAGATCAACGACAATTGGCGTTCCTCAAATGCGCTCCTGTGAACGTTGTCATGGAATCTGACTGAGGGGTTTTGGAAGACTACGTTTCTCTAAAAGGGGCGGTTCAGCAGGGTAGGAAGCGGTCCTAAGACTGTTGGTTTCCTTGTTGAATCACTTTACCAAGAAACCCTGAAACACCCAAAAAGGCTCCCCAAGGCTCCCTTGTATCCACCCCTTGGCCCCAGGGAGGGTTGGTGTACTGCCTGCTCTCATCCCCTTGGGCCCCGCCGTGTCTTTTTGAGGTACGCCCTTGGGAATGTTTCAGGAAAGCCGTTGGGAACAACGCCTTAGGGGGGTCAACGACTGAAGATTTGCCGAGCGTTTGCGTTGCAGGTCACCGTCAAGTCCAGAAGGTCGAAAGGGTTTTTGCCGCGCGACAGGGGAACCAACCGGCATCCTGACCCCACTGCTAGAACCATGTTGGGGTCTGAGGGTCTGAGTGTTTAAGGGTTTGAGGATCTGATGGTTTGAGGGTCTGAGGGTTTGAGGGTCTGAGGGTCTGAGGGTTTGAGGGTCTGAGGGGGGAAGTGGGGTATGTAGCCCTTTGCATGCCTATATGGTGGTCGTACATCGGGTGGCTCAGGGCAACCCAATCAGAACTCGGTCCGCCATTTTCGGAAGCGGACCGAGTTCGAGACAGCCAGTAGTTAGTTCACCTTGGCCCCAAACAGTCAAAGGTTTGCGCGCAGGGGAAAGCTATTCCCTAAAATCTCATGAACAAGCCCTTTCCCGTGGCCGTCCCCATCCATGTTCTGATCCGGGTAGATGCTATCCTTACATGAATCAACCCCAGTTTATTAATTGGGGGGATGTTTCTGGGTAATAAATTGGTTGGATGAAAATCTGGGAAATGTGGGGAATCAGACCACTTTTGGAAGGGGACCACCTCCTCTATTGCCAAAACCGGGGTTGATGAAAAAACATGGGGTCAACTTTTTCACCCCCTTTTTCTGTGGTAAACTGGGCCACCCAAAGGTTTCCCGTGGCCGTTCCCGTGGCAGTCCTCCGGTTGGGGTCCGGGAGGAAAGATCACCCACCAGCAGCGGTTGGAGCTGATCCGCCTGGTGGCCACCCAGTCGGTGGACGAGGCCCTGATGGAGCGGCAGCGCATGGAGCGCCAGGCCGCCCAGGCGGCGGAGGAGAAGGCGGTGGTTGGTGGTTGGTGGGGGGTTGGGTGGGGTGGGGTGGGGTTGGGGTGGGTGGGGGTGGGGTTGGGGTGGGTGGGGGTGGGGTGGGTGGGGTGGGTGGGGGGTCATGACCCCACTTTTAAAGGGTCATGGAGAGTCTAGGTAGTTCAAATGCGGCACTGCCACGAGGTCCGCATGGCCAGTTTCACCCCCGTGATGTGGCGGCGCCTGCTGTGCAGCTACTTGCTGCCGCAGGAGGAGGTGCTGACGCTGGGCAGCTGCAGCAGGCGCCACGCTGACATCCGTCTGCAGAAAAATGTCTGGCGAGCTCACCGATGGGGTAACACGAGCGAAAGCCACGGTAAAGATCCTTTGAGATCCAATTACTTCAGGTTTTGGAGTTGTAAAATGTGCAGATCTGTAGCTGGGACAGAGATCCATCGGAAGTCAACATCTGGCATAAGGCGACAAGGCGTCAACCTGAAATCCGTAACCCCAAAAGGTGGGACGGAAATTGCAAGGGAGCAATGCTTCCATTTGCTTACGAGGGAACCTGTCACTGCTGGCCATATGTGTTTTGATTTGCCTAGGGGACTTAAGCAAATGGAAGAATGCAAGCAAGGGAAGCCATCGCCTGGCAGGATATCGCTGATGGTCTTGCTTAGCGGAAACTCCTGGGTCAGACCCCGTCCAACGGGTCACCCACTTGCTGTGAGCAACCCTGACGAACTCTTGGCTTGACGAGGGTGTAGTGACAGTTCCACAAGGAGCATCAGATTATCAGTATCAGGGCTATTTCCAGATAGGTCAGCCAATATGTATTTGCGGGGCTTTTGATGTCATCAATCCTTCATGCTTCCATGCAAGTATGTCTTTTCTTGAGGCTGCCCCTTCTTTTTGTGGTCTTCAAGGAGCACCAACAGCAGTACCAGCCCACCAACTAACATGGGTTTGTGCAAAAAGGCCCTTTCCAAGAAGAAAGTCGTCTTCCTACGGTCCGAAGGCACTTCCATGTTAGCTGGTGGGAGGGTGCACGTCTTTTCTTTCGGGGGTCCCCCTTAAAAACCGGATACGGCCCAGATGGGCGACGTCACCTGGGGCTGGTGTCGCCCAAGGCTCATTCCTCCAATGGTTTTTATCCGGAGTCTCCATGACCCGACAAAGAATGGGCTCATGACCTTTTTTCTTTTGGGTGATGACCAACCATTTTTAAAGGTATCACCCCCGTTTGGACCAAATCAAAGTGATTAGAGTTCAAGCCAAAACAAAAATAAGGGTCAGAAGGAGACTCCAGGTATCATCCCCTTTTCAACCACGCCAAAAGGTGGCTCTCTCTCGCCAGGTTCTTGCGGCAGGACCACGCCCTGGGCCTGCAGACGCTGATTCTGCCGGGCTGGTTGCCTATGGAGGCCTGGGGTGGGTGGCCTTGTCCATAGCCATTGGAGCATTTTGCCACACAACCCTCGCCTGTTCCATTTCCTTCTAAGAGGGCCCCGGCCCTGACAAGAAGCCTCGGCAAAGCTTGAGGCTTAGTAAATTTGGTGCATTTTGCCAAGGGATGTTGGGACTTTTAACTTGTCAACAAATGGGTTTTCCGTCTTAAGCCACAAAAAGTTAAATTATTTTAGCAGGGGAGCAGAAAGCAACCGAGGGGAACATGTTTATATTTTTCCCTTGGTTTTAAAAAGGGAATCTATCACTATGTTATTTTTTCCAGGGGTCTTAACCAACTGGAAGATTATTAAAACGATACTACTACACAGATAGTTTTTTACACTGGCGGACGTCGCCTTGGACCCAGCCACAAGAAACCACCCAACCCTAGGTCTCGCCCCTCTCGTCCCTCTGGCAAGCCTTAGGAGGAGAAGGTGTCCCTGACGCATGTGAAGCCCATGCCGCCACAGGCGCTGAAGGCACGATATGGGACGTGAACGTTGTCGAAGGGGACCCTAGGATCGTCTCGAAGGCATTTCGGTGGTGTGGAACGTCGCCTTTGGGCTCCTGAATCCTGTGGTAGTATGTGGAAGTTGAATGGCTTCCACTGATACAGGATGAAGAATGTTGACCCAACATGAATCAACCCCAGTTTTTTTTTTTTTTTTGGGGGGGGGAGGGGGGAATCAGACCACTTTTGGAGGGGAACACCACCCTATGAATAAACAGGGGTTGATGAATGGGGTGTCAACATTCCTGGTTTAGTGGGGATTCAGACCACGTTTTGGAGAGAACTTCTCCATTCCCCACTTAGTAGGACGGGTTCTGCTTAGATCGCGGGTCAACAATTGCTGGGCACGTAGGTCAGAATCATGTCCACCGACTTTCTGGTTTGTTTGTCATTTTCAGTCAGCATCAGCCTAAGGTCTTATTTGGACAGAGCCCTTTGTAGAAGCTAGTCTCACACCCTGAATTCCTGGACTATTTATTAGGCACTCTTTGAGACGCCTCTATTAGTGGCACACAAACAGTGTGGTGACGTTTTGTGGCAAACCCTCGGAGGCAGTTTGATGACCTTTTTGGCCAATACTTCGGAGGTGAAGAATAGGGGGCACGACGCAATTTCCCCCTCGTGGTGCGTCGATTTCACCACCGCTTTTTATTATTATTGTTATTATCATTATCACCATCATTATTATAATTATTATTCTATATATATATATATAAATATATTAAACATATTTTTCAAGGGGTCGAACAAACCAAATGGAAGACAACCAGCCCCAGGAGCTGGCCTTCAAGTTCCGCTACGCCCAGACGCTGCTGAGCCGCCGGGGCTGCCGGCTGCTGGACACGGACCTCGCGCTGCTGGCGCCGCGGATGGCGCAGCTGAGGCGCCTGGACCTCTCCTTCGCGCGGCGCCTCAGCCAGGAGCGCGGTGGGTTTCGGGGGGGGGGGGGGGGGGCCAGATCCGGGCGGGGGGATCGATCTCCACGGGGGAATTTGCGGCTTAGCACAAGAAAGAAAACAAGAACACAAGAACAAGAAGAAGGACAGAACACAAGAACAAGACAGTAGCCAAGAACAAGGACACGAGAAAAAAGAGTCAACAGCCTAAAAGGAGGAGGTTTTCGAAATAGACCGCATGATGTATTTCATGAGGACCTCTGGGAGAAAAAAGGGCAATGTCCAACTGTTCTTCCCTTGAAACCAGGGGAAATGATGGGTGCCCTCAATAACTCACCTTGTGAAAAGTTCAACCTCCACGGAATCAGCGAACGACCAAGAAATCGAGGATCCTCAGGCAAGGCTACGCGCAAAATAAAGTGCCAAACGATTGCAAATGGTTTACCCCGCGCAATGCTGACTAATTCTGGCTGGCGTATACAGTGCCCACCAGAATAGAATTGCCAATGGCTTGTTTTTCTATAGTCAAGTCTGTATTTTGGCTTGATGCCAGCCCACACCTCAATTTGTTAGGCCTCCATATGTTCTGAAAGATGATTGCGGCCTTATGTTGACACTGGTAATTTACACCCATTTGCTTCCATTTGCTGAAATGAATATTTTTGTTTTCTCCTGTTGGTGTTGAAGGGAATCGATTTCACTACTGGACATAGTTTCTCATTTTTTCTAGGGCTCGAAAAACCAAGTGGAAGGTAATGTACACCCATTTGGGCTTGCTTCACCTTACGCCTTCCTTCACGAACGCCCCGGCAAAAAACGCAGGAGCCGCTGCTGGAGGCTTTGAAGAGCTGCAAGTGCCTGGCGGAGCTGTCGGTGAGGCGCGCGCGGGATTCTTTTTCTTTGGCGACTTGCCTGGCTCTAGGTCTCCCAGCTAGGTGCCCTTCTCTCCCCCTTTTTGGGGGAGGGTTCCCTGTCTAAAGTAGACTACAGAAAAAAGGGTATATACCCTTATTCTAACTTCTCTACTGGAGGACCTAGGGTTTGAACATGGCTTAGGCCAATCTCCATGTGAACTGCTTTTGTTCATTTGGGCCACTATTGTTCATTTGAGCCTGCTCTTTGTGCGGCTCCGACCTTGTTTGAACCAAAGAAACCAAACTGTTTAACCACCTGATTTACACATGGCTGTGGGTCAAAACCAATGGTACCATTCTGGGGGAGGTGCACCACCCAGTTTAGTCTATTTTAGTGGGGATTGGGATGTTCACTGGGGGTACGATTCATGGGTGTGGGTACCCTTTGTCGGGTTAGTTGAAAGGGAGCCAAGAGGAAGACTGAAACACTCATGTTGCCCCCCCCCCCCCCACACATTTTGCACCATATATTTCCCATTCAAGCATCAACCCCGGGAACCTCACTCAAATTTGCCAAGCAAGGCCTGATGCTCCGAGTTGATTCGGGCGGAAACAGTGACTGAACAGGTTTTGCTTAAAGCCACTCCCCACTGTGGATGGTTTCGAAATCCATTTCGCACCATCTTTCAAACACGCCTTGATTCGGAACCCCCAGACGTAAATACCAACCGAACGTGGTGGTTTCAACCATGGCTTCCTTTCGTGGAGCGAGGTCTGAATTTCGGCAGCCTCCGTCCATGATTTGTTGGCTTTTTGCATCCTTCCATCTGCTGGAGTTTTTTTTGATTATTATGTTTTTCCCGTGTTGGTTTTAAAGGGAACCGATTTCACTACGTGACATCTGTTCTCATTTTTCCCAGGGCTCGAAGAAGCTCAATGGAAGGGTCTGGGCCGTTTTTGCTGAGGCAGCCCTTCTTTTGGAAATAGGGAAGCCATCACTGGGCTGTCCGTTTTCCGATCCACCGGCATTAGCATCGCTCTCGCTGAGGGGCTGCAACCAGCTGCAGTCCAAGCCCTTCGAGGAGCTGCTGGGCCAGGAGCTGAAGGCGAATCTTCGCATGGCCGGTTGCTGTGGCGCAGGCAAAATAGGCGAACTCCAGAAATCGCACCTACGAAATTTTGGCTTCGGCTGATTCCCAGGACGGTTGCCCAGTGGAGGTCGCTTCCTTTTTTCATTCTTTTTGGGGGAAGGGTTCCCCTTTAGAGTCGACCAAGCAAAAAAGGACTCCCATTTTTTCGCATGGCTACTGGGCATCTGAGTTCCCCTGTAAATACCGACCAACACTAGGTGCAGGATTTTGTCCACCCAGAATATGTTCGCTGTGCAGATGCAGGTCTCAAAGGTGTATGTTGATGTATGCAGTTCTATGTGCATGTGTTGAACTTCTGAACTCTGCTACTTCTATTTTCACTTCGGCAGGTTAAAATTGGTTTTCCGAGGCCCTTTGAAGGTTCCATTCGAGGATGAGCTGAGTGACATCCATCCCAACAAAACTGTCAAGCGGCTCAGATGCTGCTCATTTGAGGGGTGCATACCGCCTTTCTAGAGACGGTTGCAACGGGGGGGCACAGGTATGCGCCGGCCGTTTGACCGTGGTGATCTAGTCAAATCGTCCGTTGATTCAAAAATTGTTTAGCTGGATTATGAGTCGTTTCTCCACGTATTACAAAAAGGATGTAGTTGCTTGTCGTCAATACCAATCTTTACACAACACATACTCCTAGCTTGGTTGGGGCTAGTGAAAGTAGCCTCGGACGCTACCACCACAGATGCAAAAAGGGAACGTGCTGAAGAGCTCCTATGCCCATGTTCAACAAGGCGCCCTTGGGGTAGGCGGGGATGCAGCACACACGTACGGACGCACATACATACACACGCACATACATACGCACAAACTTACGCACACACATGCGTACATGTGTACACACGTACATAAATACGTTCGTAGGTAGGTACATACGTACGTGAATACATGCGCACACACATACATACGCACATGCATACATACGCACGTACACGTACACACGTACGTAAGAATGTACGTACGTACTTACGTAGGCACGTACATACGTATGTGTGCATATATACACATATGCGCGAACATACGTATGTACATGCATACATACGTACATACATGCGTACATACATGCGTACATACAGACGTACGTATGTACGTACGTGCATACATACATACATACATACGTACATGCATGCATACATACATACATACATACATACATACATACATACATACATACATACATACATACATACATACATACATACATACATACATACATACATACATACATACATACATACATACATACATACATACATACATACATACATACATACATACATACATACATACATACATACATACATACATACATACATACATACATACATACATACATACATACATACATACATACATACATACATACATACATACATACATACATACATACATACATACATACATACATACATACATACATACATACATACATACATACATACATACATACATACATACATGCACACATACATGCATGCATATGTACATATGTGCACATGTGCACACACATACATACGTCCGTACGTGCATACATAACAACATATATTTAAGTACAGTACGTGTTTACATACGTACATACATACATACAAACAAATGCATACATCCGTACATACGTACAGACATGCGCACATACATCATACGTACCTACATGCTTACACCACGCATACAACATTGTACATACGTACATACATATGTATGTACGTACATATGTATGTACGTACCTACACACATACGTACACACGTACATACACACGTACGTACGTACAGACATGCATGCAAGCGCACATAGTGACCGTACAACTGGGACACATATGTTCTGAAGGGTGTGTCAGAGGTATCTACTCCACGGGCGCTTGGTTATGCCGCACCCCACAACTCAACGGCAGAAGGCATACGTGAACAGATTTCCAGGAGCCCCCCGGTATGAACCCAAAGTGCTTGTGTTAAATCAAGTGTGACTTACAGCTTTGTGGGCAATCAGTCTATGGCCACGGGTCCAGATGGGTATGTGTCGAACTATGGGCCCCCTGGGAGCCCCAAAACGGTGGTTTCGTTTTGGCTTCCCCTTAAACCAAGCCACCCAAGGGCACCTTCAAGGAAGCACAAACTAGCCCCAGTATGTTACCATTATCGAAGTCACCCCGTGAGTGTTATGTTGAAGGAAAACGACCCAGTTTCTGACTTTGACCCCCAGAAGCAGTCAAAGTAATGGGCCCAGACAAACCCGAATTTCAGGGTTCCCTCAACGCACACCCTGGAACCCTGGTTCATGTCTTCAAAAAGGAATCCTCTGAGAATAAGACTCCCTTGAAGACCGAGCCATAACGGGCCCATCAGCTGAACGCAGGGTCTGGAGTACCTGGATGTGAGGGGCTGTGAGCAGTTGGTGCCTGCGAGCATTCAGAAAGCCGCAGTTCAGGTACACAGCCTGCGCTCCTTGGACGTCGTTTTTTTTGGGTGTCGTCCCTTGTTTTGTTTTGTGATTTGTTCTTGATTGCTATTGGGTTGGATTTTTAAATTTTATTTTTTTGGAAAACCAAGGGGTTTTCCACTAAACCCCCAAACAGTTTTTTTTTTTTGCAGGGGGGTCAACGGCAACCAAGTGTTTCTCTCGCTTGTCTTCGTTTGTTCATTGATTTTTCTATGCGTTTATTGTTGTTTTGCTGTTTGTCTTGTTCGAGTGTTTTTTTGTGTTTTCCCATTTTCATTTGTGCTTGTTTGTGAGGTGGTCGGTGAGTGGGCCGGTTGGTCGGGCGCTTTTTGTTAGGTGAGTCGGTGGGTGGGTCGGTAGCTTGGTGGGTGAGTGGGGGTTTTGGTAGGTGGTTTTCTTGGGCTGTTTGACTTGCTTTGTTTGCTTGCTTGCTTGCTTGCTTGTTTGTTTGCTTGCTTGCTTGCTTGCTTGTTTGTTTGCTTGCTTGCTTGTTTTGTTTCTACATTTTCTTTCTTGCTTGCTTTTTATCTTGGTCTGTTTGTTTTGTTTGTTTGTTTCTTTGTTTGCTTGCTTGCTTGCTTGCGTGTGTTTCTTTGTTTGTTTGTTGTATTTATGTTGTGCTTGGTATGGTTTGGTTTGGCTTGGTCTTTCTTTTGGTGTGTTTCAGTTGGCCTTTGTCTGCTTTGTTTGTTTTGTTTGTTTCATTTGTGTGTTTGTTTGTTTGTTTGTTTGTTTGTTTGTTTGTTTGTTTTGTTTATTTTCTTGCTTGGTTGCTTGCTTGGTTGCTTGCTTGCTTGCTTGCTTGCTTGCTTGCTTGCTTGCTTGCTTGCTTGCTTGCTTGGTTGCTTGGTTGCTTGCTTGCTTGCTTGTTTGCTTGCTTGCTTGCTTGCTTGCTTGCTTGCTTGCTGGTCTGTTTGCGCGTACGTGTGTGTGTGTGTGAGTGTTTTTGTTTCTGTTTGTTTGCTTGCTTGCTTGCTTGCTTGCTTGCTTGCTTGCTTGCTTGCTTGCTTGCTTGCTTATCAGTTAGTGAGTTTGTTTGCTTTGGGGGTGGTGTGGTGTGTGAGGGAGTCAAAGATTAACAAAACAACAAGCAGAAACCGGGCAAAGCCAGTTTGTATAAAGGCCTGTTTGCCTTGTTGAAAAGTGGGTTTCTGTTGGGTGGGGTGACGTTTGAAGACAAGACCATGAGGAACCCCTGTTGTTTTTCGGCGTGAAGCTTTCCGAACAGCCGGGGCGATGTTGGGAGGACACGGGGGGCGGATTTCGCCGGAAGGTTTCCCTGGGGGTCATGAAAATGGTGGTTGCAACGGGACACATGTTTCCCATTTTTGATCTTATGGCGGTTTAGTGGTTGAAGTCCGAATCCACTGAACTGCTAAAATTTTCAAATTTTTGCTCCCCTGACCCAACGTCGCTTCCAAGAATTGAGCCTGATCTCGAGGCTTCGGCTTCGAGGTCTTACCGCAGCTGTGGCCCTTCAACCATGAGGCGGGGGAGAAAAATAGCCAAGCCCGACCACTTCCATTTGCTGAAAGGAGTATTTTTTAATATTTTTTATTTTCCCCTGTTGGTGTTTCCAGGGGTCTCAACCAAATGGAAGATTATGAGCCAGACTCGAGCCCGAGCGTTTCGCGGTAATTTTCCAGCCCCATGCGGAGTTTGATGATTTGCTTGAGGCTTCCCTCCGTCCAAAAAAGTGGACCCTTATGTTTAGAACTACCCTGAGGGATCAAGCTTAAACCACCCCGCCCCTTATTGAGGACCAACCCAGCAAGCTTACTTAAATGGGCAGGGTGCTCAGCAAGCGGTTAGCAAGCCTGGTTATATTCGACTCAGACTTGTAACCATGGCTTGGGTGGGTTATCTCATCATGGTTATTCCCGAATACCTGACGTACAATGCCCCTTTAATCTAGAAAATGGTTCAGATGTGGCTTTTGTGGATCCACCCCTGTCGAATCTCAAAAGGATACTAGAGTATCACGAAACAATGAATCGACCAGGGAAAGAACTTTGGTGAAACCCACGTAAAACGCGCAACTCCAAACCCCTTTTTTTCTAGAAACCATCCAAAACCGCTTTTGTCCTAGATTTTTTAGGCCCCCTCCCCTTTTGCCCGAGGGCCTCAGCTTGCCACGTAAAAAAAAGAAAAGAAGGAAAAACCATTAAGCACAAAAAAATCACGCGCACATCCAAGCCCCCGGCCCGAGTGGCCCGAGAAACATCTCCAGCTTTTAGCGCTTTGCGCCCGAGGCGCCCATGACGCGCCTGGACTTGGCGTCTTGGGACCTCGGTGGCCTCCGGTGCTTGGAGCTGGACCTGGGCCTTCTGCAACTCACGGAGGAGCAGGCGCGAAACTTCGAAGACGCGAAGTCGGTCGATCGGTCAAAAGGCGTCGGGGGTCGGAGACGACGGCCGCGAAACCGGCGTCCCTAAGGGTTTTGTTTGGGCGCCGTTCCTTTTTTTGGTTTTTGTTTGTTGTTTGTGTTTTTTTGGGAGCAAAAGGGATTTGGCAGGGAGATGGCACTGGGGAGGGGGCCAAAGTTGGATTGCTTGTCATTTTGGGAGTCTGCGGAGTTTTGGGTGTCCCTTGGAGTTTTGGGTGTCCTTTTTTTTTTTTTGGGGGGGGGTGGCAAAAGAGAGTTGAAGGGAGATTTGTCAGTTTGATGCATATGCGCTGGAGAGAGGCACAACGAGAGAGGAAGACCGCGTTTTTTGCCTTGGGGGAAAACTGCCAGGTCAACGAAGATGTGGCTCGCCTGGCAACATGCAGGACAGGGAGAAGAAAAGGATCCCCACCCCCAAATTGAGGCAAACTCACAAGGTTTACAGGCATAGAAGGGGGCAACTCATATCGATTTGTGGGTACATTAACAACTATTGGGGGCATACAACTCATACCGATTCCGATCTGCGGGTACATGCGCAATTATTTGGTATCCAGTTGATCCACATCAGAGACTCCGACACCCAGGAGCCCGCCTCGATCTATTCAGGGCCCTTCAACATGTCTGTGTGGCTGGGTTTCGCCATTTTCAAGTGCCGCGTCTGGTGACGCTTCCGGAAGACTTTAGGAAGGAACCCGGTTGGGCGAAGCGTACCGCGCGTCACGGCTTCTATCCGGAAGTCCACCTTTGGTTTGATGGGAAGCGGAATGGACTGGCATTGAGTCTTGAGGGCTTTTCCGCACTCATCCTCCTTTGTTCTGACGGTGGGGGGGCATCCCCAAACCCAACAAGAGAAGCACACGCAAAAATAAGCAACATCATCCGGGCTTGTCTCAAAATCCACAGCGGCCCTTTTCTCCCAAGCAGGAGGACATTGTTTTTGCAATGTCTCGAATTCTTTTGCAGCCTTCAGAGCAAACTCTTAAGGCCTTGGCCTCTGCGAAACACCAATCAAGCGCATCGTTCCAAAGCGTTCGTTTGCAGCCTTCAGAGCAAACTCTTAAGGCCTTGGCCTCTGCGAAACATCAATCAAGCGCATCGTTCCAAAGCGCATGGAGCAAAGCGGACCGTCAGGACGCTGGACTTGCTGCTGCTTTGGAACGTGATTGATTTGAGGCCGTCCACCTTCAAGGCCCTCCTGAGAAATCAGAAGGAGGTGGATACCATGGTGTTGGAGGACTGCACCTTGCCGCGAAATCTGTGGGATTTCTTTCGCCCTTAATCACAAACGCCTCCAAAACGGCTACCTGGACTCAATGTCCAAAATCAAACTTTGGTTTGTGTTCGGCTTTTGTTGGGTGAAAGTAGCTGGCACCAGCATTTTGGCTTGGTCATCCCCCTAGCTGTGTCATCTTAGTTGGAGCTGTGTCATCTACTTTCACCCATGCAACTGCAGCCGCCTTGATGAAACAACAAGCCATCCATCCGCAGCTTCCTTTTGTGGACCAGGGCGAAGGATTGAGGCCAGGCAGGCCCACTCAGGGAAACCCTCGAGGGAAGCGCCTAGGCTCGATCAAGCTGCCTGTTCTAACTTCCTTTAGAACATAGGTGTCCTTTTGATCGGTTAGTTTGGTGAAAAAATAGAAGGCAGTGGTTTAGATGGGTTTGATTCCATTTACTAGGGCCATCTATTTTTTCAAAAGGACACTTATGCTTTCGAATTTCCTTTGGCCGGGTTCTTGGATTCAGAGCCTCTGTTGAATACCCAGGCGACTGACTCAATGCATACTTGACAAGTCCCTTGCAAAAGGCCTTGCCAAAGAGCCTTTTGCAGAAACCTGAGGTATTTTGGGTTGGAAGGGGGTTTGTTGAAAAGTCAGCTAGGAGGGCAGAGAGCCCTCGATCTCCCTTTGATTTCCCTTTTACAGAACCCACAAGCAAACATGTATTTAACTCCCCCTGCAAAGAACCGAAAAGCCAAATGTAGTGAGATTAGGCATGGCTTCTTCTAGCTTCCCCATTCTTTTCAGGCGTGCTTGTCAATGCCTTCCTTTGCAGTCTAAGACTCTCAGAATGTTGAATCAATAATGCAAACAACTGATTTTAGAATCAGTTTTATTTCACTTAATGTGCATAGAACAAATACTACAAATATCGTCATCACTTTCTCCCACTTCAAACGTCTGATGAGCGAGTTGGTCAATTGTAAAAATAACTTAAATCTTGTAATAATGTGGCTTGCACTTCTTGCGTTTCAAACATACGCCGTGGTCCATATTGGCAGATTAATACACTGGTTTTGTATCTCCTTGGATCTCCGATGTCCTGGCCAGCTGCAAAGATTGGAGTGGTTTTATCTGTTGCTAAAAAGTAGTACTTTCTTTTGTAAACCGTCATCTACTCAAATCAACAAGATGTTAATCATTCTTAAGTCATACTGAGAATTATTCTCAAGTCATACTGAGAATTATTCTTGAGTCAGTCTGTTAATCATTCTGACAATCGTTCTTGAGTCATTCTGTTAGTCGATATTTGTATAGTTATTTTCTTGATTTTTAAAGACTGAGTTGAAGTTAAAGGAGCTTTAACAAGTTTTTCAATTAGACATAACAATCTAGTTTCAGACTTAAAACACAGCTATTATACAAATATTCTATTAAAGTTACTGTACTTGTTTTGGAGGCGTTGGATGTCATGGATACTTTTAGGGCTCTGACTCTGGACGACTTCGTGAGGCTACCACCACCACGACAGCTACTTCCACCTGGTGCCTAGTGCCTGGGGACTGGACAGCCGCGACAAGGCCGGGGGTTTGCGGAGAGCGCGGGTGCGTGGGGGGAGTTTGAAGGGAAAGAAGGCAAAGAGCATCAAGCCATGTGGGGTGTGTCTGTTAGGTTGGACCCTCCAAACAATGGTTTCAGTTTTTCCCTGAATCTTCTGAATTGCATTGCAGCCGCAAAAGGAGACCAACGTTTTTTGGGGTGCTTCGGTTGAACTTCCATTTTCAGAGATTTGGGGGAGAGCTTCAGTTGGAACTCAAAAAGGGTGTTTCGCAAGAGTATGTGACACGCTCTAACTACACAGAGCTCGCCGGATTAAGGGGCTTAATAGCTGAGAGGTACTAACCTCCCCCCCTTTTCCGGTGAGCTGCGCGAGTTCCTTGGCTCACTACAGACATGGCTGATAGATAGTAACCCCTCGTTTGTCACAACTTACCGTTTTGAAAGGATCCAAACAAAAGGATATGTGTCAAACTAGCGGTGCCCACGAAAATGATGTGCAGTTTTCTTTTGCCCCCCCCCCCCGGGTCAGACAGGGTCGACCAAGGCTTTTGTCCGTGCTGGACATTAGCCCGGCGCCGGCGTGGTTCGAAAGAGCCCAACACCTGGAAACAATCAACTTCCATTTGCTGAAAGGAGTATTTTGTTATTTTACCCTGTTGGTCTTAAAGGGAATCTATCACTACTGGCAATAGTTTTTGATATTTTTTCCAGGGGTCTTAACCAAATGGAAGTCAAACACCCCCCCCCCACATTGTGGCAGATCGTTTTGTGGGGGGCACGTGCCCCATTTCCTTATCTCGGGCAAGTCGCCCACACCAAAAAGTTTCGGGGTTGATGGGGCGAAAGCACGAGAGCCGCCTTCAGGGTACTACCAGAATCCACTTGAAATCCCTCGCGAAGCTAGCTAGACTAACCTGTGACTTGGTCGGGTCAATCTTTGGATCTTTAGACTTGTTGACTCTCTTGTTTCCTTTTTTTCCATAAAAAAACACAAAACAACAACAACAACTTCTTGGAACTGATGTTGCCCTGCCGCACGGCGAGTGCCGCTTTTTGACCCCCGCCGAATATGGGCCTTCGATTCGTGGAGCTGGTTCCTCCCACAAAGGTGGACGCCTTTAGCGCCGCGAGCTTCTTCCCCGCGGGCCTCCGCGGAGGCAAGGCGGTGGTGGCGGCGGTGAACGTGTGCCGGGAGCCCAACGCGCTCATCGAGGCGCCGTAGCGCGGGGGGTTTCGGCGGAGGTTCCGCGGAGTTCCGCGGGCGGTTTCGCGGTTGGCGCCGGGTGGCCGAACTGCCGCGCGGGAGGACTTTTTTTTCTCTGGGGCCGCCTTCCATTTTTTTATATTTTTTAAAGACCGGGTGGCCGAACTGCTGCGCGGGAGGTTTTTTTTTTTTTTTTTTTTTTTTTTCCGGGGCCGCAAGGAGCTGGTTTTCGGGCTTCGAACGATGGTTGAAAAGAATGGTCGGTGGCAACCCCTAGGAGAAATGGTCGGTGTCAACCCTTTGCCCCTTGCACGAAGTTAAAGGGGTCCCCTAGAAGAGCGAAGAACGAGAAGCAGCAAGCTCGAGCAGGGGTAAAGAGAACCATGTTGCCGATGCTGAAGGTTTTGGGAAAAGGATTGGGGTGATTTGCCCAAAGAGGTCAAGAGGGGTTCCCAGTCAGGACTTTCCCCCTTTGCCTGCAAGAGGCGAGCAACCTCTCCTTCTTTTCGGGGAAAAAATCGCGGCTTTCTTCGCCATAAATCCCTTCAAGGTCCCTGAAAGGATGCATTTGGACCAAGGATTCCCCAAAGCAGGCTTCCGTCTGAGGGCTTTTGTATTACCCTTGGATTATGACCCAGAATGGTTCAAAACAACACGGATGGTTTCCGGGTGTATCCCTGGAGCGTTTCTCAAAATGGTGGCCGCTTTTAGGTGGCATTTGAAGGCAAGCCAGAGGAACCCACTCCTTTTAGGCGAGCAATTCTGGGCTATGATCATGGGAAACCAAGGCGGTTTCTCTTTTCGGGAGGTCCCTATGTTGAGACCCCCCTCCTCTTCGGCCTTCCGCCTCTTCCGCTTCTTCCGCTTCTTCCGCTTCGGAGGCCATGGCCGGGGCAGTGGCCGAGCTCGGCGTGCAACATGTCCATCTGATCAACGAGCACGACAACGACGTGCTGCAGCGGCTGGCGGGGCCCCAGGCGCGGGTGTCCGGCCATGGGGCGAAGCAGCCCAAACCACCGGGTTCATGTGTGTGGCTTGAGGGGAGGTTGGGCACCTAGTAATGGTCAACTGAGCTTATGGATCTTGGGTTTTGATTGGCAGGCCGGGCAGTTTGAATTGGTGGTTTGGGGATTTGAACCCTGGTCCTTGTAGAGGCCTTTTTGCTTGGGCTTTGGGGACGAAAGGTGTGGTTTAGGCTTTTATAGTACTTGTATTGGTCACCACCACTTCCCTTTAGTTCCAGGCCATCCCTTGTTCGCCTTGCAAGCATGGGCCTCACTGGAAAATCCTAGCGGAGGCTCCCCCAAAGAATAAGCAACAGCCCCAGCCCCAGAGGCTGGACAGGGCTCATGGCAAGGGCACGGCTGCCGCTTCCAATCCATTTTGGGCATCCGATCTGGTGTCAAGTCGCGCTCGCTTTCGTTGCCTTATCTTAAAAACACAACTTTTCAACTTTTTGGGGGTAGCGTGGGCAATATGTCTGTAAAAGATTAACTTCCCCAATCCTTGAAGTTTTAAGGGGTAAGTTGCCTGGGCGCTGGCAGGTGCAGTCGTTCCACATACGCTGCACTGTGAACCTGGCGACTCGGTGCAGTGGGCTCGGGCGGGCTTTATGGCCAGCGACTCCCCCGATCCGGGGGCAAACCGGTGAAAACCCGGCATACAGGATCTCTTTTTTCATTGGATGCAGTGCAATGGATGAACTTGGCTTATATTTTTTGGCGACTGAACCACAAGCCCTGAAGACCTTGGCCGTAAGTCAGGGTCTTGGGGAATAGGAAAAAAAGGATGTAACGTCCCCATTCCACGCCCGGAGATGCTTCGACATGCCTCGACCCAGGAAACGACACGCGGGGGGAACATATGGAAGGGCACGGAACAGGCCTCTTGGGCCTGTTCACCGGCCAGCTTGCGAGCCGTCAGATGCGGCAGCCCGTGCCTGGCTTGTCCGTACACGTTTACACTGAAAAAGCTTTCATAGAGCGTTGGCGCCTGATTTGTTGAACCCAAGCTCGCAAGTTGGTAGCTGATTAGCAGTTGCAAACGCTGGGAGTGAGTGCCCGGTGTGCAGATGAAGGTTCAAATGCTGGGTGCATCCCGCCCCTCAAATAGTGAATTGGCGGGGATGTGGTGGCCCTGGAATGCGTTACGGTTCCATTTCCCTTTCATGGGAAGACTGGATAAATGCACTTGGGGACTCCCCACCCCCCTCCCCCTAAAGATAGGGGGGACAGAACCGATGTTGACCCCGGAAAAAACGGGCAATCCCTGGCTGTGTTCATTCTAGTCGCAGTCCTTTGCTTTTGTGGGTGACTCCCCGCTTTTTATACCGGTTTGCCAATCTGCGGTCATCATTCGTGCTGAAGTTTCCAAACAGGACGCCAAAGGGGATGGAGCATTCCTAAATTTCCAAGAGCCCCTAGGAAAGGCGTCCCAATGTTGGAGCCCATTGAGAGAGAGAGAAAGAGAGGGAAAGAAAGACGGAAAGAGAGAGCGAGAGAGAGAGAACCCCCAAGCCAAATGATGCCCAATTGGCCAGGAAACAAGACACCCACATAAACCCTGAAAAGGATTCTCGAACGCCCATCTGAACCGCCCAAGAAGAACTCATGGCTTTCAGGGGAGGGTACCAACTTTTTGCAGCAGTCTATTTTAGTAGGGGACCCCTCCCGGTAAAAGAGCACTACTGGGGGACCTATCCTCTAAAAATGTACCAACGAATTCGTCCTACGAAAGGCCTCCGACTCTTACTCCGCGGGCTTCCTGTGCCCCTTCCTGCGGGCCTGCCCGAATCTGCGCAGGCCGGGGGGGAAGGGGGGGGGGAGCGGGGGGGCGGGGCCGCCAGGTGCCTGAACCCTACCTACGGTATAGACACAAAAGGAGACACAAGTTGAGTATGGAGTAAATATAGGGGAAGGCAAGTTTTTGCTTAAAGCCCAGGCTTGACCTGCCATATTTTTCGGGGTGGAGTGTTTGGGAATGTGCGGTTTGTCTGTGGACCTCTCTGGGCTCCTTTTGGGACCTGGCCGCAGAAAAAGCCACCTGTTGTTACCGCGTGTTTCGTTTCATGTGTATATGCATTTATATATATATATATATATTCAATTCGTGCGTTTTCAGTGTCTTCTCTAAAAAAATACGAGGTGCCCATGGCGGTGTTTTTGTTTTTGCCCCGGGTGCGCGCGCGAGGTTCCGGCTCTTTCCGAACGCCGCGCACTTCGCGGGCCGCGGCCTGGACTTGGAGCCCTTGCTGCAGGCGCTCGCCCGGCCCGTGTCGGGAAACCCACCTTTCAATGGAGCGCGTTCTGTTAAGCAGCATGGCCTCCCCGGTTGCGGGCAAAAAAGAACCATGTTGCCAAGGAGAATGTGCTTGCCGAAAAAATCCACCAAGGCATTTGGGGTGGGGGGGTTGGGTGGGTGGGGCGGATGTCATGTTGCCTTGTCCAAGCCCGATGAATGGCAAAGTGAAGGGTCTCCTCCAAAGCACGACCTGCGAGTGAAGCATCAAACTCCACTCCGAAACCGCCCTTGGGGCTAAACCACACCTCCCCATTTTCCATTCCTGGTGGCCAGCCATCCCATTAATTAGGTTTTTAGCTCTGCGTTTTTTTTCTCCTCCCATATTTCCACCCCCGCAAAGTGATTCAGCCATGTTTTTCGGTGGATCTGAAAACGGGCAGCCCGGAACGCCGGGGGGTTCGAAGCCGAAGCGTCTCCCAGCCCTCTTCGCAGGAGCTGTCGAGCTCCTGCGTGGCTTTGGAGTCCCTGGAGGCGAGGGTGCGGGGACGAGCTGTGGACCTTGGGTCTGGGAGTTGATTCCTTTTCCATTCTTTTTAACCATCTTTTTTTTTCAAGAACCGATCGCAGGTGTTTTTTTTCCCCAGGGTTTTTGGTGGTTTCTAGAAAGAAGGGTGCCTGGAAAGAATGGGGAAGCCACCCTTAGAATGGTTGTTGTTGGGAAACATATTTTACCCTCCCACCAACCAACGTGGAAGTGCAAAAATGCCCTTTCCAAGAGGAAAGTTGTTTCTTTCTACAGGGGTCTGTGCACTTCCATGTTGGCTGATGGGAGGGTACATGTTTGCTTATTGTGGTTTAGTGGGAATTCCCAACTTGACTGCAAGAAACAAAAATCTTGCTCCCCTTCCAACGTCAACCAAGCTTGGCCCCTGGGCTCTGAGTGCTACATCGCCGCCATCTTTCTTTCTTTTTTTTAAATATCTCAGGAAACAAACCAACAAGGGATGGAACCAGTTGACACGCAGCTTCTTCCCAGTTCCAAAGGGAGTTGCAGGCACTGAGGGCGGATGGAGCTTGCTTTTGCTTGAAATTGTCGGGCTTTCTTTTTGACATAGGTTGCAGATGAGGATGTGGGAGCCCGCCCCCCCATTTGAACAGCCCATTGTTTTCTCTTTTTTTGTTGTTGTGTGGTCTTGACCTGCTGGTTTGCCAAGCTGACTCAACTTTTCCTAGGTTTCTTCATGACGCGCCCAACATTTCGAGTCTTTGTTTCGCACTCCTGCTGTGGCTCAATTTGTAGTGTTCCCTGTACGTTCTCATCTGGTGGTGCGAACGGATTTCGTCCATACGCAGTATCTGGGTATGTGTCAAAATTGGTTTCCTTTTGCTTTTCTTTTCCACCGGCCCAAGGCTACCCCGAGCCCAGTCAGGCCCCAGGCCCTCTGGTAAAATCAGTCAAGCGTCCGGCTCGTTTTTTCCTTTTCTTGTTCTTTTTTTTCTTTTCTGGCACTCGTTTTGTTGGTTTTGGTTTTTTTCTTCTCATTTTTTTCTCTCTCAGGTGTTTCCATAATACGCTTCGATTTAGAAAAACCGCCGCTTCCTTCTTTTCCTTGGGACCCTGCGAGTTGGCTTGGTGTTATTTGGCCCCGCGGCGCCCAAATCTCGCGAAGAGAGTTGGCGGGAAGTTTGCCGGGCCTTTGGGTCGAGCTTCTCATTCGATCCTTGGGACTTTCTCGTCTTTGCGTCTTGGCCATTCGCCGTTCGAGCGTTCTCAGCGGGCTGGTTCCTTTTTTTTGGCCCGGCCAGGTGCCGAGCGATCCGGCCGATAAATGGCGCGAGAAGGAGACCTACCATCCGGTGATCGAGCGCTTTTGCCCAGATCATGATCTTGATTGGGTCGGTCTGTGTCAAAACAGGTTTTTGTTCTTTTTGTCACAAGTTGTCCCAACCGACCTTCCACTTGCTCGCTCTTTGGGCTCCAGGGCTTTCTCCTTCGTGTAGGCAAAGAGAATCAGGGAGTGGCAGCTAGTGCACGCAATCCCAGCTCACACTGACTTGATATTCCCGGGCAGCCCCTGAGTTTGTTTTTGAAGCTTTGTGAGGCTTTGAGGACATCCGAACAGCCCAGCTGAGGGATACACTTCGCATGGTTTCTCTTGATGGGTAACAGGGGCATGATGTACAACTGGAGAATCCTGACCAGCATCAATCCCAGAGGCACGTGTCTGAAAGAAAACAACCGCCGGGCTGTAAAGCGTGCTCACCGATGCAGCCGATGCAGTTGTTTCATTTGGGGATCCTTATTGATCACAAGCCCCCCTCCATGAGCTAGATATTGCTTGAGTGAAAGGCTTTTTTTCCTCTTTACCCAGGGAGTGTCGCCAAAGAGTTGGGATTTGCCAGATTCCCCTTCAAAACCACAAAGCAAGTACCTTCCAAAAGCACGAGCCGCCCCAGACACCAGTGCAGGTGCAAACCCCTCTGTCTCCCTTGGAACTGTGCCTGTGGGTATCATCTGGGTCCCCGGCATTGCTGAAATGCTTTGGCGAAGCGTGAAAAGCAACTGATCAAGCTTCCAGCTTTCATCTGGGAGCATTTCTTTTGGGATGAAACGTCAAAGCTTCCAAAGGCTCGCGCCAAACTTCCATTTGCTTTTTTTTTGGGTTTTTTGTTGTCCGAATGCGTAGCAGAAGGGTTCCCGTTATAGAAGGGGGTCTGGGGGTCAGCATGTGTTCGCCAGATGCGTCGCTGCGTTCGCAAGCGTCCGCAAGCTTCCGCAAGCGTTCGCAAGCGTCCGCAAGCGTTCGCAAGCGTTCGCGAGCGTCCGCGAGTGGAACGTAAGGCCGTGCCGTTGGGGAAAGCGTTTTGCACGTCGTTTGGATGACTTGAAGCGTGTCTTTTTTTTGCCCCTGTGCGCGAATCGTAGCCCTCAGCATGTCAGACGTCGTTTCGCTGCGCAGGCGCAGTGTTTTGGAAGGCTGCGTGTTCTCGTTGCCGTGCCAGTGGGATTTGCGATCCAGGGGTGGTTGTTTTGAGGTGTCCTGCTTTTCGTTGGCCCTGTAGTACAATCGGCTCGTTTTGACGACTGCAGATTTGCAAGAAATCGTTCGGAATCATTCTGGCGCTAAATGAGCGCTTTGCGTGTCGCTGTAACGTGATTTTTCGCTACAGGCGCAGCACTTTAGAGCTTTTTGTGCAGATTTCCTGGCAGGCGCAGCACTTTGGAGCTTTTCGTGCAGATTTCGTGGCAGGCGCAGTACTTTTCGAGTTTGCGTGCCGATGTCGTGGCAGGCGCAGCGCTTTGGGTGGGTCGCATCGCTCTCGCTGTGGCGCGCTGCGCATTTTGAGCATGCGAAGCGAACCCTCTGCGCACTCTGGGTGGGTCAAATCGCTCTCGCTGTGGCGCGGTGCACATTTTGCAAACGCGAAGTGAACCCTCTGCGCGCTTTGGGTGGGTCGAATCGCTCTCGCTGTGGTGCGGTGCGCATTTTGAGCATGCGCAGTGAACCCTCTGCGCACTCTGGGTGGGTCAAATCGCTCTCGCTGTGGCGCGGTGCACATTTTGCAAACGCGAAGTGAACCCTCTGCGCGCTTTGGGTGGGTCGAATCGCTCTCGCTGTGGTGAGGTGCGCATTTTGAGCATGCGCAGTGAACCCTCTGCGCACTTTGGGTAGGTCGAATCGCTCTCGCTGTGGCGCGGTGCGCATTCTGAGCATGCGCAGTGAACCCTCTGCGCACTTTGGGTGGGTCGAATCGCTCTCGCTGCGGCGCGGTGCGCATTTGGAGACAGAAGTGTCGTTCACAAGTGTCGATCAGGAGTGTTCATTAGAAATGTCGTTCAGAAGTGTCGATTAGAAGTGTCGTTCAGAAGTGTCGATCAGAAGTGTCGTTCAGAAGTGTCGATTAGAAGTCTCGATCAGAAGTGTCCATCACAAGTGTCGTTCAGAAGTGTCGATCAGAAGTCTCGATCAGAAGTGTCCATCAGAAGTGTTGCTCAGAAGTGTCGATCAGATGTGTTGCTCAGAAGTGTCGATCAAATGTGTTGCTCAGAAGTGTCGATTATAGAAGTATGGAGAGAGAGAGAGAGAGACGATCAGAAGTGTCAATCTGACGTGTTGTTCAGAAGTGTCGATCAGAAGTGTCGATCGCAAGTTTCGATCAGAAGTGTCGTTCAGTAGTGTTCATTAAGACAAGAGACGTGGCAAGAGACGTGACAAGCTGCATTTCTCAGAAGTGTCGCTCAGAAGTGTCGATCAGAAGTGTCTCAGAAGTGTCGGTCAGCAGTGTTGCTCAGAAGTGTTGCTCAGAAGTGTCGCGTCGCTCAGAAGTGTTAATCTGAAGTGCCGATCAGCAGCATCGATCAGAAGTGTTGTTGAGAAGTCTTGCTCAGAATTGTGGCTTCAAGATGGGCGCTTGACGCTTAGATGTGTCAATCAGAGGTGTCGCTTAGGAGCGTAATTCGAAATTTCGCTTGTAAGTGTGTTCAGAAGTGTCGCGGTTGCCCAAGCTCTTGCTCAGAAGCGTCTCTCAAAAGTGTCAGTGACAAAAGTCGCTTACGAGTGTTGCGAATATTTAGAGGTGTCGGTTGAACGGTTGGTCAGAAGCACAAAACGTCGCTCAAAACATGTCTCCAGCTGGACAACATTGCTCGAGTTGACGAAATGCGCATTCCCAAGGCCATCTTTTGCATTCGGGTTCGTGGCTTCTATCAGGTGTTTTTTCAAAATAAATACGCAAATAAATAAATATATCTATATACATATCCCCTGTTGCTTTTAAAGGGAATCTATCACTACTGGACATATATTGTTGTTTTCCAGGGTCTTAACCAAATGGAAGTAGATTGGATCCAAGATCGCCGAAGGTATGATGCGGGCGAGTCCAGCACCGCGAGGGCGCAGAAAGTGTCGCTGGCCGTGCTCCAGGTGGGGGGCGGGCCCCAGGGTTTTGGGGGGGGGGGGGGGGGGCGAGGGAGCGGCCGGTGGTTTTGTTTGTTTTTTGTTTTTTTTGGGGGGGGAGGGAGCGGCCGAGGCGGCTTGGGTAGCTGGCTGTTTGGGCTGCTCTCTCTACAGGGTTTTGAGGGTTTAGGTTTGGATTTTGTGGGGTCCAGGTTTAGGCTCTTAAGGGTGTAGGTTTAGGATTTCTAGGGTGGTAGGTTTAGGGGTTTTCGGATTCAGATGCTTCTAGGGTTTAGGCTTGGGCTTGTTGGGGTTTAGGTTTTGCGCGTCCTGCAGCTATAAGCAGAGTGCCGCGACGCCTGGAGTCGTCGAAGCAGGGCCAAAAAGGTTTAGGTTTAGGATTATTGTGGGGTTTAGGTTTAGGGTTTCCAAGGCTCGGCTTGTGTTTTTTGGGTTCAGGGCTTAGGGCTTAGGGTGGAGCACAACAACTCAGCTCGGCAAGCGCCACTTCCGCGGATTCACAGTCTGCAAGTTGGGGAGCCGGGATGCGTGAGCTTTGCCCTTGCAAGCCACAAGTTGCTGGCCCACGGCAATTTGCAGCCCGAAGGGCCTTGGGGCAGATATGCAACCTACTCACTAAGCAGGTTAGAACCAAGGATGTAACCGGGGTTAGTTGGCTTACAACAATGGGTTGTAACCTACATGGTAAGTAGGTTGAAACATCCAAGTGGGACAGATCCTCTTGACGGTGCCATTCCAAAAATAAAATTGTGCGCATACCTAAATTCTTGCGCTGGTCTTCAAAGACATTGCTAAGATTCGCCTCGAATCTTCTTGCGAACACGCCTCGAATCTTCACTTTCCACAATGTGTCAACTGGTAAAGCGTCTGTTTAGGAATGGGTGAGGCTTCTTGGACAAGGTCCATCCTGTCAAGCCTGAAACATGGCACTTTTAAAGGTCCTTCCATTGGTCGAACGCTGCACAAAACGCAGAAACCCCGACTTTGAGACGGCATTCCCAGGTCGGGAAAACGCGTCTAGGTACCCCAGTAGTGTTTTTGGGGAGGGTTCCCCTACTAAAATAGACTACAGGAAAAAGTTGGTACTCTTATTCTAACCTCTCCACTGGAGGACCAAGACGTGGGATTTCGCCAAAGCCAGAGGTGGCTTGCGATCGGCCGATTCGATCGCAAGGAGTTGCTGGAGAAGTGCCCTCAGCTTACGCAGCTGCAGCCCGGGGCCCTACTTCGGGCTCAGCTGCTTTGGTTTTGGTCCTTCCACCCCGGGAAAGCACCGGCCCACTTCGCCACGTTCTTTAGTCTTTTGGTTGGTTTTTTGGGTCGGGGAGTTCGACTTCCCGTGGGGCATGTTGGCTTTCAACCTTTTTGTGGAGGCTCCCTTTAAATTGTGTTGCCAAAGAAGTATGTGCCACGTGTCTGGGATTGAGGTCACTCAAAGAGCTAGCGAAGCTAGTGAGCTGATAGGCGAACACGGTCAGTTGGTTCGCTGGGCAGCTACCGCCAGTTGCAAGCTGACAAAGACCAGTGCGCTTTTCTCGCCGTTGGCTCCTCGAAAGTCTGGGGCCGCCGAAGCCGTGGTTTCCGACATGATTTGGTTGATTGGACTCCTTTGCCCTTGCTTTGTGCCTAAAAGGGTTTCCACCAAGCAGCCACCCGCAGATGACTTTCATGCCGCAACCAACATCTGACCCTTGTGTACGGGCTGAATCTTGTTGGTGGTGCAGGAGGGAGGGGGGGGGGAAGGGGGTAGTTGCATTTTTGTTTGGCCGAATGTAACTCCTTGATTGGTTATTGGGGTGTGAAGCGAATGAGAGAATGACTCTACGTCTATTTGGTTGGATCTTGAGACACTGATTTTTTTCGGGAAATCAAGGGGTTTCCCATTAAAAACCCACACAAGTTTTTTTGTTAAAAACAAACAAACATATATAAAACAAATAATAGTAATAATAATAATAACCCCCCCCCCAAAAAAAAAAAAAAACAATTGCAGAGGGTTCCACAGCTACCAAGATGAGGACTTCACTTTGGGGTTGGGTCCCTCTGGCCCCACCCTGTGCACATCGTGCCATCCCCTCGGTGCTGGTTAGTCTGCCACCAGCAGTTCTCTTGGGGAAGAGACGAAGAAGCGTTGGTGTGTGGCAGGGTAAGAACTAGGTCCCCCAGTATTGCCCTTCTTACTGCTTCTTTTTTTTGGGATTCCCGTACTAAATCGTCCGCAGAAAAAAGGGTACCCTTGTTCTGACCTCTCAAATCTGGAGGACCTGGATCTTTGAATCGGCCTCCGCCCAGGCTGCAGGCTCAGGTGGGTTGGATTGGTGATTTGAAGCCCTTGGAAAAATCTGTAGACTAAAGGCAGCCACCAACCCAAAGGCAGCCTCATGGAACCGCTTGCCAAAAGCAATCGTCCCTCGGGCGAATCCTGCAGCTGACTGCCAGAAAATTTCCATTTGCTGAAACGAATATAATTTTTCTTATTTTCCCCTGGTTGGTTTTAAAGGGAATCGTTGTCACTACTGGACATAGTTTCTCATTCTTTCCAGGGGTCGAAAAACCAAATGGAAGTCAAAGACGCCTCGGCTCCCAGGCTACCGCCGCCCAAAGGGCAGAGCTGCTTTGGCTTCTGGCGCCACTGCTGCGATGGGCCGAAGGTGCTGAAGGACATGGCGCAACGACGTCTGGACTTCTGCACGCCCACGTTGCTGCCGCAGGAGCTGCGTTGGACTTGGAGGTAGGTCAACTGGGCCCAACTGGAAGCTGGAGGGTGGGTGCCGTTTTCCTGTTGGGGATCATTTTGGAACAAGTAGGGGTATATGGGGTGTGGTTTCCGTTGGTTCAAGTCGCCAGGCATGCCTGTGGAACTCTCCCCTCCTCAAGGATTTGTTTGCGGGAACCAATTGTTGGGTGTCCTTGGAGGGTGGGGCGGTGGGTTTCCCCAAATTGGGGCCCTTGGTTGTTGCAAACGGGCTTGCAATGGGGTGACTGGGGTTGCTAGTTGGCTAGAGCCCCCAATAGCTTTTTGTCACGAAAAGCTCAGAATCTTCCAACGCGAAAAGTAGGATTTCGCCCCCGAAAATCGCCCTAATGGGGGCCTTGAAAGGGGGCACTCCTGGGGCACTCAGGCAAAACGATTGCCCTAAGCGCTGCGTGGCAACATGGGCCATGTGGGTTTTCCAAAAGGCGAAAGTCCCAATGGGTGGTTTCCGATGGGTCTCCGCGAAGAAACCCGCAAGAAGCTCAGCGTATTTTCTTCTCTTCATGGACACTCGGCAGGTGAACATTTTATCACTGGAGGCTGTGTACCAAACCGGCCGGCTGTTGTTGTTTGGTTGTTGGGCATTCGACACATTGGCCTTTGCCCATCAGCGGCCTCCCTTGGGAGATGAAAGCCTGAATGTTGGTCTCAAAATGGGAAGCCACACAAGGCCCGTCTTTTGTTTTGGTTCCCCCGGAAAAAAAAGGCAAACTCGAAGAGGGTAGGTACCAACTCAAAGCAAACCTGCACTCAACGATTCCTGAGTGAAACCCTGGGATTTCCCAGAGGTTCATTCAGGGGTTTGATTTTGGGCTCCGCGGAATGGCCCTTCGAAGAGAAGAAAACCGAAGAGAAGAAGCGTTATCCGTCTCCGAGTTTCTGGACCTTACCGTTTGGAAGACCATCCCGGCAGAGGAAACGTTTGGGAATTGATAGTGGGACCCCCATTTTGCTTGCCATCTTTTTTCTTCTGAGAATAAAGCAATCAAGAAAGAAACAGATCCCATGCGAGAAACGGTTTGGGCCAGATCATGACAGGAGCTGGAGGGGGTGCTGCAGGCAGGTCCTTTCCGCAGAATTTCGCTTCCGCCTTCCCGCCCTTCTGCCATTGTCGGAGGGCACAGTGGCGACTCAAAGAGTCTTGCTTCTTGATCGAACCTTGGATATCGAGCAGCAAGACTCTTTGAGCTATATTTTGCCGCCAGTGATTTTGTTAATCTTATAACCTCGTGTTTCAACATATTTTTACCTGTCCCAGTCTTAGTTATAATGGTTGCCGGACATATTAATCCTGGTGTGAATGACGACACCACCGGGTCCCCAGCTAAAAGTCAGAGCCGAATGGCTCCTTTCGGTTGCCCTTAGCGCACCATCCCTATCTCTCGCCTATGAAAGACTAATGAAGGCGAGATGATGGTAGGAGAAAAGAAAGAGGTGGGAAATGGGGAAAGAGATGATGAATGTTCCGCTCGTGGCCTAACCCTGACTCGCTATTGCCTGCCACTCTTGTACCAACCCTTCGCTCCCATCGCTCGCGCTGGATCTTGGAGAGAGTGGAATAGCATGGAATGGCGAATGAGACTGAAGGAAGCTGAGGTAGAAAGAGATCCAAAAAGAATTGCAAAACTCACAAGGTGAAGATATCTGAAACAAATTGGAGATATGGACGTGTCACCTGTTTGTCAACTCTCTGAGACCCTTTCACTCTAACTCTCTCATATCCATCCTCTGTTTCTCCCGTCAATGGCATGTGATAAAAGACGGGAAAGAGAAACAGGATGGTAAGGGTTGGGAAAGGAATATCTCTTCATCATGTGTTTCATCTCTTGGTTTTTAATTGGCTATTCCTTTCTCCATTCCTCACCGTTTCCAAGATCTTTGAGTGAGGAATGAAGAGGAAGGGTCTACCGAAGGCATGAGGTGAGAGTGTGAGAGAAGAAGCCGGCCGCCATTCCTTTCTTTCCTGTTCTTTATGAGCGACCGAGAGTAGCGAGGAAGCGGGCGGAGCGGAGAGAGCTAACGAGGCGACTTCGAACGAATGGAGATGAGGTCTTTTGACGTGGCCCACTCACCTCTTTTCCCACGCCTTTTCCCACGTCGTGGGATGAGGTTAGGTGAGTGAGAGACGTCCCGTGTACCTGGAACTTCCGAAGGATCCGAAAAAACAGCGAAAGAAGCGAGGGGATTGAGTCGATTCCTCTCATTCCTTTACCATTCCTCTCATCCCTCACTATCTTCCCAATTAATATCTCTACAGGTGGGAGTGGGATGAAGGATGTCATGCCTCTATTTACGCCCATCTGTCTGTCTTGATGGGTGAGAGGCTATCTTTTCCTTGCCGCCTTCCTAGAGACGGCACGGGACTCCGGGCCGACACTTTGTTTTTTGTCCGGAGACCAACCCGGTGCCCCAATGGCAAAAAGTGAGACCAAACCGAGGGCAGCTGAGGAAACACAAAGCGAACATAGGAAACCATGAAAAACTCATGGGAACTTTCTTGGGTGCTTGCCCAAAGGCTATGGGGGAAAAATCGCGCGGTTTCCCTTTGCCAGGAAACTCGGGACTCGAAGGGTGGGCCGAATCGAGTTTGCCCATCCTGCACCGTGTCCTCAAGAAAAATTCCCCAGCTTCACAAGGGTTCCTACCAAAAAAAAGCCAGATTGACAAAAGAAAGGGGATCCTCCAAATCAGCTGGCACCTTTTTGCCATTGGAAGGCAAGCGGTCAGCTTGGGACGGGTTGTCGGGGCGCCGGAGCGGCTCGCGGCTCGCGGGTTCGGTTTTTTTTTTGGGGCTCCAATCCCAAGCAGCCGTCCGGTGGGTCAGGTTGGGGGGTTGGATGGTTTCGGGTGTTTGAACCCATTCTGGTAGAAGGCTAATGAATGAGGAGTTAGCCCACGTCCGGACCACCAAACCCAGGGGAAGCTGAGTTTTGGTTCTGGCCCTGAAAGGGTAACCTTTGGCTCCCTGGTTGAAGATGTTCCGTGCAGAAGATTAAAGAAGCACATGACCCGTGACGTGCATTTTGGCAGGGCCTATATAATCGCAACCATGTGTTGCTCTCATTGCAGTAGTGTTGGTGTCTCATGGTTATTGCTTTTGCAGTGCCAAAACGCATGGAGCAGCGAAGCGCTGCTTGAAGCAAGCCTAAGCCCTACGAAGGGCACACTCACAAGAGCACGCGCCTGGCTATGCCATGCACTCCCAGTGTTCCTTTGCTTTCCCTTTGAATCACACCCAAACCTTGCTGGTGCTCAGCAGGGAATCAAGGAATGAATTTGGGGATCCCTTTAAAGGAAACCACACAGGATGGGTTCATATAAGACACTCATTCCCTGCTGAGCAGCAAGAAACACATTGGTTTGCCCAAGCGACGCGCAGAGACACGCCACCCACTCTTCATTCGGGCCTCCGGAAGCCTTCAGGTGGTCGCTGACATCGCGCCAGAGCGGCTTTGCGTGAACCACCAGGCGATTGACCGCAGCGGAACTCCTGGCGTGCCCAACAGCTGGGATCGATCTTGACACGGGAGGGTCCCCAAAAATGGGTTGCTGTTGGTTTGTCTTTGGATGCCTACCACACAGGGCTCCGCCGCCATTCGGAGAAACCCAGGCTTGGGTTTTGCATCAAAATCAGATGCCGGGAGCGAATGTTGATAAATCTTCACCCCGGATATGAAATGTTTGCCCGGCCAACAAGAATATTCCCCTCCAAGAGTGAGGAACCCCACTCAGAGGGGAGGCCCCCTCTGAATCAACCGGGCCTTTATTTTACCCGGGCGGTTCCAATACTTGGGATGACTTTGCCATTGGGGGCATCCGAGGGCCTAAGTTTTGTGTAGTGATGGGGCCGGCCCACCTCCAACCAGCGTCTCCGGTTTCTATGTTTCTTTGTGTCAGGGAAAGCGTGCTTATCTTCCATTTGCTTTTTTCTTTTTCTTTTTTATCCTGTTAGTTTTAAAGGGAATCTATCACTACTAGAAATATGTTTCATTTTTTCTGGGATCTCAACCAAATGCCAGTTATGGCGGGTACTGCATACCCAGGGAGCTCCAGAATGTCTAGTTGGGGATGCTCGCGATCCAGTGCCCAACAAATCACAATGGGCAACAAGGGGGTGTGACCGTCCGGGATTTCATTGTTATTGTTGGGACGTTTCACATTTTGCTTATTGTGGTTGAGTGGTTGAAGTCTAACCACTGACTTCCTGAGTTCATGAACTTTAAACTTTTTGGGAAGACCATTTTAGTGGTAAATATAAAGTTTAGACTTTTTTTGGGCCATCCACTCAGCCAGGGAGACCACTTATATAACCGCAAAACTTCAAAATGTTGGCTCCCCTTCCAACGTCAGCCAAGGCTTTCCCTCCGGGCTTCCCCCAACTCGCCGCTGCCCAACCCGACCCAACTCGCGCGGGGCCCGGGGCCCGCGTTGCCGGCGCAGGCGCCGTTTCCGGAAGGCCTGGCCTTCGCTTTGCGCTCGGGGCCCCCGCTGCTGGCGCTGCGGGTGCAGCACCTGCCGAGGGCCGCGGCCGCGGTCTTGGCGAACCTCTTGCAGGCGAGGCGGAACCGCGATTGCGGATGGCGATCCGGGTGGAACTGCGAAACGGGAAGGGGCGAGAGACCCGTTTTTTGTTTTGTTTTGTGTGTGTGTGTGTGTGTGTGTTTTGTTTTTGGTTTTTGCTGTGTCACGGAGTCTTTTTGTGGATTTCGAAAGTGGCGGTCCTTTGGCTTCTCATCAACCCCGTCGGGAAAAGGGCCCCCGCCATGGACACATTCTGACGACACTTGGCATCTTCTTGGCCGGCTCCGAGTGAAACAGGTGGCTGCGGGTTCGCCCAGGGTAGTGAGGCGTGTCTACTTCCCCCCCGCCCCCAAACAAAACAATCATATATCAGAGGAATGAATTGGTTGGCTCTTTCAATGTCAAGGTCAGCGAGCCAACCACTGGTAAACTGAATGGAAAACGCCCCTCCCCCCCTCCTCCCCTCCCCCCCTCCCCGTCCCCCCCTCAGGAAAACTTTGGCGCATTCTTGGCTTGGACGTTAGGACTTTAACTTCTTGCCACCTCTATGGGAAAATCCCCCATGGAGCCACTAAAAGTTATAGACGCCCTGAGCGCAGCACCATCTTCCAACGGTTTCTGGGGCGGGGGGGTCGTGGCTGTTTCGCCGGAAGCCGCTTGCTCCGCGCCGCGGACGCTCGAGGAGCTGCCGGAGCACAGCCCTCAGCTGGAGGAGCTGGCCTTGGGCCACATGAGCTTCACCGAGGCGGGGCGGGGGCGGCGAGGGCGGGGGCGGCAAGGCGCTTGCGCCGGGGCTTGCGCCGGGCGGAAGCCGGGGGGCGGTTTTGGGTTTGGAAGCTCCTCATGTGGGTTCTTAACACTCACTTCCATGTGCTTAGGGTTATATATATATATATATTATGTTTTCCCCCTGTTGGTTTTAAAGGGAACCTACCACTACTGGACATATTTTTGTTTTTTCCAGGGGTCTTAACCAAATGGAAGTTAATGTAAAGCTCGAAGTTGGGTTGGCTTTAAAGCCAAGCAGTTGCTTGGCTTTGAGCTTTGAAGTAAGGCCAGAAGTGGGTTGGCTTCGAAGTGAAGCCGGAGGATGTTACAAAGGGTCGCAAAAGGAAACCACGCATGTTGGGCACGAGGAACACCACAGGAAACTTGCGGGTGTGGGTAGGGAATGAGGGAATGAGGGAATGAATATGGGGCAGCAAGCAAAGGAAGTCACCAGTTGGATTTCCAACTCATTCCCTATCGCCCCAGGTGCCCTTCCTCGGGCTTTCCAGCCTTCTCCTGAACTCAAATCTGGGTATGGGTCAAAATTGAACCACCAAAAAACCGCAGGTTGAGTCTATGCTTCCATTTGCCAGGGCAAGCCATTTTGGGGTTATCCAATGTTCGACCCACAGCCAGTCGGGATATCGCCACCTTAAAGGTCAACTCGCGGGCTTCGGCAGCTACTGCAACCAACTTTGGTCTTTGGAGGAGTGAGAAGGAACTAGGTCCCCCAGTAGTGCCCTTCTTAACCACTTTTCTGGTTGGGAGGGTTCCCCTATTAAAATAGACTATAGAAAAAAGGGTACCCTTATTCTAACCTCTCTATTAGATAACCTAACCTAGGCAACTGTTGCAGCCGGTTTGTTGCCTTCGTCGAGGCAAATCCTTGCGAACGGGCCTCCTTTAAACGCAAGCAATCTGGAGAGGAGCATTTTTTGGGGTGAGGCAACAGCAATCCAGCCATTGTAGGGATCTCCCAAGCATAGTGGCCAAAGGGTTTGAGCTGATTGTTACATACAATGTAAATGTACCGTCAGTCGGTATCCCCTGTTTAGATGGAAGTTCTCAGGAAGTAGCAATAGTTTTTGGGCTCAAGTGATGGAACTTACTCCCCAGTACACCATGGGGTTGTCTCAAACAAAACCTCAAACAAAACTGTAGGTTATGGGTTCGTAGGGCCCCCCCTTTGCCATAAAGCGGTGCAAAGTGGGGCTTCTGATTTTTTGCAGGTAGCGTCCACGGAATTTGGGGCTGCTGGATTCCGTGCCCCAATGGGCCCAAGCTTATCCCCTAGACCAAGAGGGGTACCTTCCCCGTTCTTTGCAGGGATCCGGAAACCCAGGCAAAACGCCGATTTCTCGAAAAGAACGATGCTTGAAAATAATGATTCTAGAATCCACCCCTAGAGGCAAGCCTAAACCACCCCTTTCACCCAACCCCAAGCCCTGAACTCGCCCAAACTGCCGCAGGAGGAGGCCGACAGGCTGGCTGACGCGCTGCTGGGCTTCCGAAATCTCAAGGAGCTGAGCTGGCAATGCCACTTCAGCTGGGCTTGGTGGGGGGTCTGGGATGGTTTCCCTTTGCTTCCTCTTGGGGATCAGAGTCCGGAAGCCCTGGGCTCATTCTTTGATCAATTTTTCGTCGGAAGCTGGGGTTGGCTCCCTGTCACTTATGACTTAGAGGCTGACTTTGGTAAAGTCATGGGGCTCATTCGATTCATTTCGGGTGATCAAAGTCCTGAGTCAGGGAATCGACCTGAAATGACCTTTTGGTTTTCCCGTGTTGGCTTCCCCATTTTTAGAGGCCCCACAAAGGTGATCACCTTTTCTTTCTGGGTCCTCGGGGCAACTGAGAAGTCAGAACATGGGACCGGTCGTTTCCCTTTCACGTACCACTTAGGGGCTGACTATGGTAACTAGGTAAGCTAATGTGACCAGTTGAGTGTCCGTTGGTAGAGATTCCTTCCATTTGCTCAGGAATATTTCTATATTGTCCCTGGTTGGTTTTGAAGGGAGTTGCGGGGGACTTCAGCAAATGGAAGATTCAGGTTGGGCCCAGATCAAGAAACGGTTCCACGTGAATTTCTTTTGATGAATACTGTGGATGGACGATCCATTTCGCACCACCCAAGAAACCCTGGCTTCTGATGGTTCGCCTGAATATCAACAAACAACGGCTGCCCATGGCTTCAACGTGGTGCGAACGGATTTCGCAACCATCCACATCCAGTAGTGCTAGATCTCCCTTGAAACCAAGACCGGGGAACACAAGCAACATTCTTCAGCACAGGGAACCGCAGTGCCTGTTTCACATTGTAAATGGTTTTTGTCCACCCACAGTGACGAGCGGGATCCTCGAAACGTCTTCTCCCGAAGCTCAACAGACACGCTCTCTTTCAAGCGGCCTTATGAGCCCCTTGCTCGAACCCCGGGTAGGTGAAGGTGCTCCTTCACCCCGGGTAGGTGAAGGTTAAGCTTTCATTTGCTGAAATGAATATTGCTTTATTTCCCCTGGTTTTAACATCCATCACTACTGGACATATTTTCTCAATTTTTCCAGGGGCCTCAACCAAATGCAAGTAAGGGGCAGTCCCAGCCAGACATAGCTGCGGTCGCCTGTCAGTGTCCTTACATGGCTTTGGGTAGACCAGGCTCTGAAAGTAAACTCCAGTCATCCCTGTTGAAAGGCTGCAGTGTCTGACTTTAGTGAGGCGAAGAAGCCCTTCTTCCCTGAGCTTTTGATGCCTCAACTCCATGCCGCCGCTTCTCTCGCCATCAGGGAGGGCATTGGCAAGTTGGGCATTCCATTCGCCCATCAGGCGTGGACACCACTATGTCCTTTTTTGTTTTTCTTCCGGTTTTGCGAAAATGCGAAAATCAAGGGGTTGACTCATCCAGACCCATCAATCTTCCTCCCCATTTTGGGACACCTATGATAGGAGCTGCTGTACCCGCGCGGCCTCTGCGAAGCGGCGGTGACGGCCCTCAACGAGGCCGGCGGGGGTCGGCCTATCTCGGCCTACCAGCGTTTTTTTTTGGGAGCTGGCCTTCCTGAACATGTTGGGCCTAGGCCCGGAGGACTTGGAAAGTCACATAACTTCCATTTGCTGAAATGAATACGTTTTTTCTTATTTTCCTCTGTTGGTTTTAAAGGGAATCAATTTCACTACTGGACATACTTGCTCATTTTTTTCCAGGGATCGAAAAACCAAATGGAAGGGTGGTGTGGGGAACTGAAAGGGTGGTGACCCCCAACATGGTTGTCCCTGAAAACACCAACCTGAAATCCACAAAATTGAGGTTTTCCTTTTGGTTGTCCTTTAAACCAACCCCCAAAAAGGGCGCCCTCAAAAACAAGACCCAAGTGTATGAAAATAGGGGAGCGCCGCCCAGAACGGATGGGTGGTATCTGCCTGTGGCTTGTGGCTTTGGAGCCAAACAACATGAAAAGGGGAGCTCCCCCCAACATGGGATCTCGTGTTAGAAGGTTTGTGTTTTAAGGTTCTTTGATTCCGGTCATGCTTCGTGAGCTGCAAAGAAGGAGATGTCTCCAGGCCCAAAGCTGAGATCTGTTGGGGGAGATGATTGGGAGAATATGTTGGCATGGGCAAACCGGAACCCCAGCAAAAGGGATTGCACGGATCTGGAAGCCTTTTCTGTCTGTTCTTAAAACCATGATGTTGTCTTCCAGAAGTGTTTAAAGTTCGAAGTCCAGGAACTCGGCCAGTGAGTAAGAGCCTGAAAACACACCTGATCCCGAAACGTTAAAGGCGAAACATCAAACCCAGCAGCCAATCTCAAAACCTCCAAGTCCACAGGTTGCCCAAAATGAAACTTTTGAGGCATCCCACGCTTCGCTGTTTCTATCGCAGTGTTCGCCCGCCCAGCTAAAGTAAACCTATTTGGTCCAAGTGAGCGCAAACGGGTTTTGACTTTTTTTGGGGCCATCACAGGAAGCGATATGAACACTTACACACGTTTGCAGCGCGTTCGGGAATCGCGAATCGCTGCCAATCGCTTCGGCTGGATTCGCAGATTCATTGCATTTGCTTAAGTTGTTTTTCTTTTTCACTGTTGGTTTTAAAGGGGTAGTTTCTTGGTTTTCCCCGATATCACTACCGGTTTTTGTTTCCCCCCATCAGGGGTCGACAAAAACCAAACGGAAGATCCGGCCTCGATGCGCAGATTGGCAGGCGCTGCCGCAGATCATGCGGCAGAACCGCGGTTTGCAGAAGCTCCACTGCTGCGATATCTCTCCGAAGCTGCTGCTGCAGGCCGCGGATCTAGCGGGGAACCGGTATACGCAGGCCTCACGCGGTGATTGTTTCCGTGTCTTTGCTTTGTTCCCCCTTTTTGGTAAGAAGGAAGCCAGGTGTTTCTCCTTAATCCTTTTCTTTGGAGGGGCAGGCATCCCTCTAAGCAAGGCCGTAGTCAAACGTCTCCAAATGGTGGGTTAAAGGGACAACGCCGGGGTGTTTAACCCAAAACATGGGTCCCCTAAAGCTGGTTTCCCTTGGCTCCCCTCTAAGACGCCGACCCAAGAGGGTCCACGATTTCTATATGTTTGTCACACATCCGTCAACCTGCAATGCTTCAGGCTTGAAGGGGCCAGGTTGCTTTGGCGACGGCATGGCTTCCCTTTTGAACGGATCAAGCCCTGAGATGAAACCGCGTTATATACTGCCACTGGAATGGGGGTCCGTTTGCACAAGGCAACTTGAAGGCGGCGAATATGTTTGACTTGAGTGAGCATTCCCTGGCAATGCGCCCAGCGTACAAGGATAAGTTTTTTTTGGCTGAGGCCTTATAACAAAACAGAGGTCACCTTCCATTTTCTGAAATGACAGTTTTTGTGTTTATGTTTTCCCCTTGTTGGTTTTAAAGGGAATCTATCACTACCGTATTTTTTTTTCTCGGGGGGCTTAAGCAAATGGAAGTCACTATCAGCCATTTGGAAGTTATCATTTTTCCCACAGGGGAGAACGCTTGGAAGATTTGTCGAAACAAAGACGGGCGCAGCTTGGTGTTGGCTAACATGAGCCCCTGTCTCACCCATCGAGCCGAGTGCTCAGCCCAGTTACGGCAGATCTCTGACACTTTGCGGTGAGACAACAAATACCGGGGGCAAGTGGAACCCCTCAATTTGCGAGCATCTGTGTTTCCCTTGCAGCCATTCGGATTTTCTCGAGGATGTCATTCAGACCTGACATAGACACCAAGTTCACCGCAATTAGCAGGCAGTGACTGGCTGCCACCAGCTGCGCAAACTCTTAGTCTTGGAGCAGCTCGGGCGGTGAGGCGGAGTGTGCAGAGGGCTTGTTGGGGCGTTGGGGTATGGTGAGGGGGACATGTGGTTTTTTGGGACGTGCACGTTTTGCGCCAAGAAGCAGAACCTGGCTTAGTCTATGATTTCCAACCCTGAATACCTTGTTATTCATTGTGCACTATGTCTTTAGGGAATGGGCCACGCAGCTCAGGGTTGATTTCGGCTTTCTTGACATTCATTTTCCATCTTTTGCAGGGACCTAAGTCTCGCGAAGCTGCCGCGCCCCTTCTCTTTCAGTACTTATTTGGCTGTGTGTCAAAACCAATAGGATCCCAGTTTGGGGTAGGCACCACCCATTTTAGAACCTATTTTAGTTGGGATTGGGATGTTCACTGGGGGTACGATCTGGATTTTGACCCATGGCCATTTAAGTCTCGGGGTGGAGTTCGGCTCGAAAAGGTCCCCGGATGGAACATGGGAGGCTGCTCCAACATGATGCCCCCCCAAACAACGACATGCATCTCCCAAGGAACAGCCCCGCACATCCCAAGAAGAACATACGCACGTCATGATGTTCACAACCTATCTTATGGCGAGCTCACCGATCTGGGGGGAAAACGAGCAACAGGGGGATCCGATTCTTAGTTCAGGTTTTGGAATTACAGTACAATCTGCAGATTGCACAAATAAAAGTATGTCCAAAACATGAAATAAGAGATTCCAAGGGGAAGAGTCTACATCGCGGCAAGCTCGTTTTACCCCCTAGTGAGCTCACCGTAAAGTTGTGAAGGAATCTAGGGGTACCTTCCCCATTCTTTCCAGGGATCCTTCTTTTCAGGAAACCATCAAAAACCCAGGGAAAAGAACAATGGTTGAAAATAATGGGGAATCAACCCCTAGAACGAATCTATTTCACCCACTTGGACCTAGTGCGAACGCCTCACCCGTCAAAGGTCGCAGGAGGGTAAGGCGAAGCTGGACATCTCCGTGCAGCTGCTCCAGTACCAGCTCATCACTAGGTCAGGTCGCACCCCAGTCGGTGCATCCTACCACATTTGTCTTGCAATACGGTGGCTTCCATTTGCTGAAGTGAGTGTTTCTTTCTTTTCCCCTGTTGGTTTTAAAGGGAATCGATTTCACTACTGGACATATCTTCTAATTTTTTCCAGGGGTCAACAAACCAAATGGAAGGTGGGTGGTTGCGAAATTCTGTTGCGTGGCTTCACGGCGTCAAGGAACCCCGTTGGTTCCTTCGCAGGGTTCGCTCCTGTTCTGCTGTTCTGACTTCCTCTTGTGCATGCGCTGCACCACCCAGAAAACCACGGTTGAAGCCATAACGTTTGTTGGTATTTAATGTTGACCCCGGATGAATAAACCTCTGTTTATTAGTATGGGGGTGTTCCCTCCAAAAGTGATAAATCCCCACTAAAACCAGGGACACCCCCATATTAATAAACAGGGGTTTATTCATCTGGGGTCAACATTACCGGAATCATCAGAAACCTGGGTTCAGAACGGTGGTGCGAAATGGATTTCGTCTACCCACAGTGTGAGGGGCTAACTCACGTCTACACTTGGCCTTCGGAAGCTAGAAATTGTGGGTGCCCTTTTCCGGGGGATGATTCGTTTCCTTTTTGGTTGCATCACCGGGCTTTCTTTATTTTTGTGGTAGTAGGCTATATTCGGGTTGAGGATCAGTCTTGCCCGGTGAGTGGGTTGCTTCCTTTTGCCCCCTTTCTTTTTTGGGGGCTTCGTTTTGCTTGGCTTTCACATCAACCAGCAAAAAGAGAGAGGGATAGAGAGAGAGAGAGAGAGAGGGAGAGAGAGAGAGAGAGAGAGCGCCCTTTTTCCCATGAACCCTTTGGAGCAAAGGTGGCCACTTTCTCAAGGCATACTGTGAAGCAACTGAGGTGAACATTGGTAAAATACTGAATTTCTGAATGGATGGACATGTCCAGTTCTCCAGTTGTTCCTACCCCAGGTTTAAAAACAACGAAAAACATTTTGCGGATTCCGGCCGGTCTTTCGGCCCGGTGGAATGGGCCAAACCGAAAAAAAGGCACCGATGATGGGGTGGTCCAAGAAAACGCGGAGGTGCCCGCTGCTGCAGAGCTTGATGGTCTTCCTCAAGGGGCCGGAGCTTTGGTTTGGGATCGAAAAGACCTTTTGGTGCCTCGCTTTGTTGTGGCGCTTTGCCTTGCTCTTCTTTTAATATTTTTCGCATGACAATCCAGCGAACGTCCAGTGGGGGTTCGGGGTTTGGGACGAGGGAGGGGGAGGGAGGGAGTGGTTGCATCGGCTGAGGCGCCAGTCCCTTTAGAAGGGAGTTCTATTTCAGAGGTTCAAGTTCAGGTACTTGGGCAATTGGACGTTTTTCGCAGGGGTTGCAACATGTCTTTTTTGTTGGCCTGCAAAAGTTGCATTTTCAATGGCAAACCATCAGTACCCCTGCTTCCAAGGGATTTGTCTGAGGAAGTGGCCAGGAGGACCCATTTTGGCGTCACAGTCCATAACCATGTCACCCTGTTGCAGATCAACGTGGACCCTTCTCAGGACTCTCTTTGCATGGCCAGACTTAACTCATGATTTTGTCCTTGTGCTCTTTGAGGTCCTTTCTTTGCCCTTGGCCAGCAAGAAAATGTGGAGGGGGGCCCAAAGATCGGCGCACAGTGGGTTTGGAGCCTCCCCATCTTGCAACGAAGACGGCAGCTAGCAGACAGATCTGCAGATCTGTTTGCGCGATTCTTTGCCAGGGGTCAGATTTCTAGCTTGTGATTTGCAACGATGTGTGGCGAGATATGTTGACCATTAGGTTCAATATTTTACAGGGTTGCTCCAAGCCCCAAAACAATGACCAACAGACAGCCCAGAACTTGTATTTCTTCTCCAAAGGGAGCCAGAAAAAAGGGGGGGGGCAAATGATGTTCAACCTTGGCAAGTTCCAGGCGAACCCATTTTCGGGTCAACACGGTAAGATAAAGATCGCAGGAGTGCCTACGAGTTGCGCTCCGTTCCTTTTCCTTGCTTGCCCCGAAGAGGTTGGGCTTTTATAAGCTAAAAGGGCCGACTGTCGCGATGTCCCGACCTTTCCCTGAAAAGACGTGGTTCAATGCTTCATGTAAACTTCCTTTGCTGGAATTCATATTTGTTATTTCCCCCTGTTGGTTTTAAAGGGAATCAAGCACTACCGGACATATTTCATTTTTTCCAGGGGTCTTCACCCAAGGGAAGTAAAGCTACCGGGCCCGGTTGCCTTAGGCGAGTCAGGACGTGTCGAAATGGATGAAGCCATACACCTTCCACTCGAATGTTTCCGTTTGTTCCTTTCTAGGCAGTGTCCTTGCCGCCCCAACCGCCACTGGAAACTCAAATGCCGCTCCTTGAGGCGACTCGAGCTCCAAACCTTGCAATCGAACCGGATAGGCCATGAGTTGGAAGGACCCGTTTTTGGACCCTTCCACCCTCTTGGTTTTCTTCAAGGGAAGCCCCAAACGGTTCATTCCCAAAACCCGGACTCGGAAAGTCATTCCCTACCGAACCCGCACCAGCAAGAAAAGACTCGCACCCATTTGTCACTCCAATCAATCCATCCACAATTAGTGAGTTAAATTCAGGAAATACATTCCCTACCTATCGCACCAGCAAGAAAAGCACTGGGTTTTTATGACCACCTTTTCTAACAAGTATTTCAGAGCCCAACTACGTACCCCAGTAGTGCCCTTTGAAACCCCTTTTTTGGGGGAGGGTTCCCCTACTAAAATAGACTACAGAGAAAAAATCGGGTACCCTTAGTCTAACCTCTCAAATCTGGAGGACCTAGCCAAGGCATTTCCGTCCGGATCCGAGGATATAGAGGACGAAGCCGACGAGGAGCGCTTGACGAGAGAGACCCTGCTGCAGGGCCGGTACTTGAAAGACCTCGGCAATGTCAATGTGGCGCCTCGGGGAGAGATGTTAAAGGACGACACCTCTGGGAGGCTCTTGGAAGGTGTGGCGGTTTCTGTTTGTTTGCACGCACGCACACATACATACATACATACATACATACATACATACATACATACATACATACATACATACATACATTCATACATTCATACATTCATACATTCATACATTCATACATTCATACATTCATACATTCATTCATACATACATACATACATACATACATACATACATACATACATACATACATACATACATACATACATACATACATACATACATACATACATACATACATACATACATACATACATACATACATACATACATACATACATACATACATACATACATACATACATACATACATACATACATACATACATACATACATACATACATACATACATACATACATACATACATACATACATACATACATACATACATACATACATACATACATACATACATACATACATACATACATACATACAAGCATATGTATAGTATGTATATATGTATGTGTGTATGTATATATATATATACATGCACCCCCCCCCCCCCCATGGACCCTGGTTTTACTGCCTTTTGGGGCTGGTCATGCAAATGTCATCTCTCTCTCTCTCTCTCTCTCTCTCTCTCTCGCGGCCGCACCATCATAAGCCGTCCACCAGGTGAGGTGCCAAGAGCCCATTTCAGTGATCTACATATGTATATATATGCCTACCAGAGTAGAACGAGGCAAGCAGAGTAGAGGTGACACCTTCAACTAGAAGAGAGGAAAGGTAGGCCTTGGGGGGGGGGGGGTGACCATATATATATATATATATATATATATGTACACATATATATATATACACCTATATCTATATCTATATACACAAATATAACTGAAATGGGCTCTTGGCACCCCACCTGCTGGACGGCTTACCGATGGTGCGGCAGAGAGAGAGAGAGAGATAGCGAGACAGATGACATATATGTGTGTATATATGTATGTCACTTGTAGAAGGGGATTGGCGCAGCACATGCTTATAGAATTTGTTTATCACGCCCTTTCCTCCAAGCAACCCACCTGGAAGTTTAAATAAAACAGTCAGGGCTCATGCCTTGGGGTGGGCATCCTTCATTTCCCAAGCTCCAGCATGAAAAAATCCACGCGGACAAAACACACATGCTGTCAAGCCAGGCATTTCATGCCACGCCGGGTGAGTAGCGGGCCAACTACTCCTGCCTTGTGAGAAGCTGGTGTGCCCGCGCTCAGAAGGTGCTTCCTTTCTCCCACTTCTCATGGGTGCATCAACACCATGTCCAAAATTCGGGCACCTGTTTGGGGTTTCTTTTGGCGCCCCTGCAAACTGGGCACAATCCAGGAAGTCTTGGCCCTCGCTGTGAACCGAACTCGGGCCCCAGGATTGCTACCGCGGCATTCAGTACAACGACGGCCAGGAGCCGGATCCCAACCCGCCCAGCGAGAGTGACAGTGAGGATGAGGACTGAGGACCGAGCATGCCCTTCATCTGGCGAAAAGTCCGAGAGAAGTGCCGGCCAAATCTGGCTCATACTGACGGACAAGAATGTGGGGTGGTTCAGAAACCCCGGATGTTTTTTTTTTACCGGTGAATGCCACACAAACCATTGGTTTTGCCATGGTTTCAAAGTGGTGCAGGTTTTCGCGAATTTACACTATGACCAAAGCCCGGAAGGAAATGGACTACCCAAAGCCGCCAATCTGAGAAAGTGATGGCACCCATCCAAGACTGATGCCCTGATAGTACAGTTGTTTGCTCGCATGAAGCATTTATTCAATATACATTAGTTGCTCCATTGGGCCGCGCACGGCCAGGTCAACCTGAGATAAATATGGCGTTGCCTGGATGTGCAGCCCACTCAGCAAGTAGAATATCCATCGCCTTTTTTGGCCAACCAACCCGGTAGCGGGTTGATCATCCAGGCACGGCCTGGTTTGCAAGCATTGACCGGTGCGTTTTACCGGTTATATCGCAGCCCAGCTTTTCCGCGACTTAAAAAGAGGCTCATCTCGAAGGACGGGTCCTACAACTTCACTGGGGGAACCTGTGGGGGGGAGGGAGGGCGATTCCTCAGAGGACCAGGCTGGGCGTGGCGTCGTCCGGGCGAAAGAGGAAGCTGTTTTTGGAGGGGGGGCCCAGCATATGCATGTTTCTTTTTTTGGTCGTTGGCATGCAGGGAATCTGCGCCTGAAACGCCTCCCCGCCTCGAAATCAGATTGGCGCCTGGTGGTTTTTCAGTGCCTTCCTGGTTTCCTGTTGGATTCAAAAGGATCAGCCTAGGGGAATAGCTTCTTGGCGGCACCTCCGCCAGGAAACGCATAGAATCCGAAAGCCTCCGCTTGCCGCACCTCAACGGACCCGAGAAGTGCTCCCAAAAAGCCTGGATTCTGGAGTGGAGTGTGGTGTTCCGGTTTGCATTCTGGTTTGCTCCAGGCCTGAATATGTTGTTCTTTTCAATCCTGTTGGTTTTAAAGGGAATCGATTTCACTACTGGACATAGTTTCTCATTTTTCCCAGGCGTCTTAGCCAAATGGAAGTGGCACGGCATGGCCTCCGACAGGCATGCGGCGCCCCTGGTGCCAAGCACAGGCCCGATTCGCCCGTGGTTTAATTCCTCGGGGTGGGGCGTGGCACCGTTTTGGGCCCCTTGAAGGCTAGGTGCCCTTTCTCACCAACGTCTTTGGTTGGTTTTGGGCTCCTCTACGAAAATATGTTCTACAGAAAAAAAGTGGATGTATGTATGGCATGCATGCATGCTTGCATGCACGTATGTATGCATGCATGCATGTAATGTAATGTAATGTAATGTAATGTAATGTAATGTAATGTAATGTAATGTAATGTAATGTAATGTAATGTAATGTAATGTAATGTAATGTAATGTAATGTAATGTAATGTAATGTAATGTAATGTAATGTATGTATGTATGTATGTATGTATGTATGTATGTATGTATGTATGTATGTATGTATGTAATGTATGTATGTATGTATGTATGTATGTATGTATGTATGTATGTATGTATGTATGTATGTATGTAATGTATGTATGTATGTATGTATGTATGTATGTATGTATGTATGTATGTAATGTATGTATGTATGTATGTATGTATGTATGTATGTATGTATGTATGTATGTATGTATGTATGTATGTATGTATGTATGTATGTATGTATGTATGTATGTATGTATGTATGTATGTATGTATGTATGTATGTATGTATGTATGTATGTATGTATGTATGTAATGTATGTATGTAATGTAATGTAATGTAATGTAATGTAATGTAATGTAATGTAATGTAATGTAATGTAATGTAATGTAATGTAATGTAATGTAATGTAATGTAATGTAATGTAATGTAATGTAATGTAATGTAATGTAATGTATGTATGTAATGTAATGTAATGTAATGTAATGTAATGTAATGTATGTAATGTAATGTAATGTAATGTAATGTGTAATGTAATGTAATGTAATGTAATGTAATGTAATGTAATGTATGTATGTATGTATGTATGTATGTATGTATGTATGTATGTATGTATGTATGTATGTATGTATGTATGTAATGTATGTATGTATGTATGTATGTATGTATGTATGTATGTATGTATGTATGTATGTATGTATGTATGTATGTATGTAATGTATGTATGTATGTATGTATGTATGTAATGTAATGTATGTATGTATGTATGTATGTATGTATGTATGTATGTATGTATGTATGTATGTATGTATGTATGTATGTATGTATGTATGTATGTATGTATGTATGTATGTATGTATGTATGTATGTATGTATGTATGTATGTATGTATGTATGTATGTATGTATGTATGTATGTATGTATGTATGTATGTATATGTATGTATGTATGTATGTATGTATGTATGTATGTATGTATGTATGTATGTATGTATGTATGTATGTATGTATGTATGTATGTATGTATGTATGTATGTAATGTATGTATGTATGTATGTATGTATGTATGTATGTATGTATGTATGTATGTATGTATGTATGTATGTATGTATGTATGTAATGTAATGTAATGTATGTATGTATGTATGTATGTATGTATGTATGTATGTATGTATGTATGTATGTATGTATGTATGTATGTATGTATGTATGTATGTATGTATGTATGTATGTATGTATGTATGTATGTATGTATGTATGTGTATGTATGTATGTATGTAATGTATGTATGTATGTATGTATGTATGTATGTATGTATGTATGTATGTATGTATGTATGTATGTATGTATGTATGTATGTATGTATGTATGTATGTATGTATGTATGTATGTATGTATGTATGTATGTATGTATGTATGTATGTATGTATGTATGTATGTATGTATGTATGTATGTATGTATGTATGTATGTATGTATGTATGTATGTATGTATGTATGTATGTATGTATGTATGTATGTATGTATGTTAATGTATGTATGTATGTATGTATGTATGTATGTATGTATGTATGTATGTATGTATGTATGTATGTATGTATGTATGTATGTATGTATGTATGTATGTATGTATGTATGTATGTATGTATGTATGTATGTATGTATGTATGTATGTATGTATGTATGTATGTATGTATGTATGTATGTATGTATGTATGTATGTATGTATGTAATGTATGTATGTATGTATGTATGTATGTATGTATGTATGTATGTATGTATGTATGTAATGTAATGTATGTATGTATGTATGTATGTATGTATGTATGTATGTATGTATGTATGTATGTATGTATGTATGTATGTATGTATGTATGTATGTATGTATGTATGTATGTATGTATGTATGTATGTATGTATGTATGTATGTATGTATGTATGTATGTATGTATGTATGTATGTATGTATGTATGTATGTATGTATGTATGTATGTATGTATGTATGTATGTATGTATGTATGTAATGTATGTATGTATGTATGTAATGTATGTATGTATGTATGTATGTATGTATGTATGTATGTATGTATGTATGTATGTATGTATGTATGTATGTAATGTATGTATGTATGTATGTATGTATGTATGTATGTATGTATGTATGTATGTATGTATGTAATGTATGTATGTATGTATGTATGTATGTATGTATGTATGTAATGTATGTATGTATGTATGTATGTATGTATGTATGTATGTATGTATGTATGTATGTATGTATGTATGTATGTATGTATGTATGTATATGTATGTATGTATGTATGTATGTATGTATGTATGTATGTATGTATGTATGTATGTATGTATGTATGTATGTATGTATGTATGTATGTATGTATGTATGTATGTATGTATGTATGTATGTATGTATGTATGTATGTATGTATGTATGTATGTATGTATGTATGTATGTATGTATGTATGTATGTATGTATGTATGTATGTATGTATGTATGTATGTATGTATGTATGTATGTATGTAATGTATGTATGTATGTATGTATGTATGTATGTATGTATGTATGTATGTATGTATGTAATGTATGTATGTATGTATGTATGTATGTATGTATGTATGTTATGTATGTTTTGTTAATGTTGAAACGCATGTGGAAACATGAACTGTGTTGGCAATGATTGACCATAATCGCGCATGCCATTTTGGCTCAAGCTTTGCCCTGGGTTCTTTGAACCCAATTTGTGTGAAAAATTTGAGTTTGAACACTTCCGAACTAACCCCGAACCAGCAATGGCTTCCTCGGCAACCTCGGCAACTTCCTTCGAGCTGATTGAGGACCAGACGCTCACCGCGGAGGAGGTGGAAATGGCCAGCCAGGAGGCCCAGGAAATCCGCACACGCGAGGCGGCAGTGGCGGCCGGCCTGGTGTTGGACGAGCCCGAGGCCCCCCCGTCGGCTTCGGCTACCGACGTGATGAACGACCTCTCCAGTGCACTGGAGCGTCTCCGTGTGGCTTTCTCCACACCGACTTCCGGCTTGGGTGCCCCTGGCCCCGCCGAGGAGGAGGACAAGGACATGGAAGATGCGGACGCCACGGAGCGGGCTACTCCACCAACGAAGAGGCTGAAGGGTTTCGTGGCTTCTTCCCAGAAGACCGCGGCTCAGGTGAACAAACCGGTCTCCCTTGTGCCGGTGGAGGGCCGTCCGGTTACTTCAAGTTAGTGGACCTCCCAGACCTCTTCCCGGTCCTTCCGGCATCGGCGGCCACGTTGCTGAGGGACGTCACGGTGGAGGAGGCGGTCTCCCTGTTCCACAAGTTTGTCGGGAAGAATCTCACGGAGGACTTGGTGATTCGCATCCTGGAGGCCTATGTTCCGATGAAGATCCAGATCCGGCAGGAGGAGATCTGGGCCTCACAGTTCCAGAGGAACAAGGCGTGCATTGGCACCCAGCGGATGCACAGACTCGATGCCGGCCACTCAGACTACAAATTCATGTGCAAGGCATGCGGCACGGGGTGGCCGGAGGCAGCCAAGCAATGCTGGGTCTGCCGGGCAAGGAGTTCGTCCCCTTCCAGGCACCCTTGGCTACCTACGAGGCGGACGGCGCTCATTGTGGAGGGCAAGCCGACCT